TAAAATGGGCAATATTTTGAATGTGATCATGCTGCTACACAGGTTATTTTCTACAATGATTCAAACGTCAACAACGTTAGCAATGACAGTCAATGTATTTTGTAGGTTTTTTTTCGAACAAAACTATACTGGGCAGAATTTGAAGTTCTTAAAACTTTCCCAAAGGTAAAAAAAGGTCCTGTTGCTTTCTGTGAATTTTTTAGGGCTTGTAGCAACAAAAAGTTCAAAATATTACGTACATGTACATGTAGGGTGTGGAAGTTTTCAGTGTTTTGTATACATTTTGACCAAACAATACGAAAGAAAAAACTGCACAATTTTTGGGGTCTCATAACTGGATTCTGTGGTTAATGCACATTAAAAAAAAATAAATAAATTAGCCTACAAGCACACTTGTTTAATCCACATTCAATGATTGGTTTCTTCTAAATGATACCATTTCAGTAGTCCGATTAACTTGGACCCAACTTATCGCCTTTTAACACTCTGAAATGGCCTGGGATTACCATTTCAGCTGGAAGAATTTCACAGGGTATATTTAGTACCATCCCTAGGGTATCTCCACTTTGAGCGAGGTTTTCCTCATGAAATCGGTGGGTCTGTGTCTGGGTAATTACTAATATTCCAGTGCCTTTAATTTGAATCAGAATTGATTTTTATTCTTAACCAAAATAAAAATATTCACAATACTCATTCTCCAAACAGCAATGTCCTAGGCTCATCTTTACCATTATGCAAATCAAGCAAGGCTGCAAGAAAATATAAAAAAAAATCTGTCCGCCAGCCGTCTTCAAAAGACGGGGGCAACAGCGAGTCTTCACACTTCTGCGGCACCCCTGATTTATTTTTTTCAGATTAAAAAAGAAAGTGCGCTTGGGGAATCGTTAAAATTCACACAGACTGCGGGCGTCAAGATACATCTGAATGCCACTCGCCAGAAGCGAGAGAATTATCAAGGGGTTGTAATAGACTTCAAGCAGACTAAAGAAGGACGCTTTCAGCAGACTAAAGAGAGACGATTTCAGCAGACTAAAGGAGGATGCTCTTTGCTTCTGGCATTTTTGTGTGTGCCGAACTGGGCTCAAGAGTTTCATTTTTGAAAGGGCTCGACTTTGACAGAAATCTGTAACGTCAAGCTGTTGTAATGCCACAGGGAGGTTTAACAAAAAAAATACCACTGCACACCCGCAAGGCATGGCAAGGGGCAGCCTTACTTGTACCTCAGACAAACAGCAATTTCCTGTGGTTGGCTCTTAATGTCATTTTAATTTCAAGAACAGGAAATTTCTATTCCTGCTGTATATTGGCGTTGATTAATTCCAGTGTTGTCGGCTCCTGGCTTAAGTTCTAAGCTCTATTCGTAGGCCTCTGAGAAGTCACAACTCCTAAGGACAGACAGGAAAAGTGCTGTCTGAAGTGAAATAATTACAAAGTGTATGTCAACATTTTTGCATATTTCAAACAAACAGGTCGTCTTAACCTGCTACAAAATACAAACATATGTAAATGGAGCTGTCTACAACCTGTGAAATTATTCCATCTGACATATGCAAATTTAAAGAAAATGACAAAGATACATGTACAATGTATGACCGTACAGCATGGCCAGAATTTTTTTTTTGGGGGGGGGGGGGGCGGATCCCCAACTGTTTGCCACTCTTGCACTGGCACTGCACCAAGGGCAGATCCAGGGGGGGGCCAAAGGGGGCCATGCCCCCCCCCCAAAAAAAACGAAACCAATTTTTTTTTTTTTATGTGACATCGCAATAAAGGCAGGCAATGAGTACACCACCATCTTTTCCTCAAAAAAACATTGGTTAAAGTGGTCAGAAATTGCCTCAGATCGCACCACTGAGCATCTAGAATCCAAAAAATTTTCGGGGCCCTTAAGCGTGCCCGAACCCCACGCCGTAATTTTTTTGACCCACTTTTTGGGGGGACCAAAATTTTTTTTGGCCCCCCAAAAAATTGTGTTCTGGATCCGCCCTTGCACTGCACTGAACATGCGCAGTGGATGTGTTTGGGACTCGGACATTTTTCACCGTGACAAATCTTCATCTGAATCCTCGCTAATATTGTTGTTGTGACTTCGTATTCAGGAGATGGGAATCAGACATATAGCAAAGTTCGGACTTCACTTCCCTTAAAAAAATTCCTCCAGAGCCACGAAACAGGACAAAAAAGATAAAATATGTGGTAATTTAATGTTGGATTCGATTTAAAACAATAAAGAAAAAAACTTGCAGGAAGAAGAAGACCCCTGGGATTTGCATGCATACAAGGCCACTCGGATTGTTTTTCTAAAAGGGAAAAAAAATCATCAAATCTTCCAGTAGGCGAGCAGCACAGTTTGAATCAAATTTCTGGCTCACTGCCGAGACTCAAAATATCACTCACACCTTTAATAGGGCTACAAAAGGCAATTTAAATGAAATGATAGGCCTATCAATTTGAAAGAGCATTTTTTATAAAAGTAAGATATACATTTGTAAATTTATTGTCCACACAACCATCATTTAAAAACTGGGTGTTTTTGTGTTATTCTTGCAAGAACCATGTGAGAACAAATTCTGAGGGTCAAACTTTCTACTCTCAAAAATCGAGCTGTTGATCAGTGCTAGTCTGCTAGAGCTTTGTGAATCCTGCTGCTATGGTGGCCCTGAAGGGACATAACCAGTCGTGAATATTTTTTTGCGACGTTGTGAATTTATTCTGATTAGTTGTGAATATTTTCGCGACGCTGTGAATTTTTCACGACATTGTGAATATTTTTGCAACGTCGTGAACATTTTTCACAACTAGTCACGAAAAAAATTCAGGGCGTCCCAAAAAATATTCATGACTAGTTGTGAATAAATTGATGATGTCGCAAAATATACTCACGAAGTCAAGAATAAATTCGCAACTAATTCACGACTAGTCGTGAATTTATTCGCGACCAGTGGTGAATTTTTGTTGTAAATATTTTTCCGGTAACTTGAAGGGTTCTACAGCTGCATTTATAATGGGATGATTTGCAATCTGAATTCCCCTCCATCATGTCCATTGAAGTTTTTGACACACAAGGAGCATTCTATTCAACAACTACCATTATGTAATAATGCCCTCTAGCGCCCGTTTGGTTAAATACTCTCCAAGCTACTGAAAAAAATATTCGCGACAAAATACGCGACTAGTCGTGAGTTTATTCACGACGTCGCAAAAAATATTCACGACGTCTCAAAAATATTCAGGACCAGTCGTGAATTATTCACGTCGTCGCAAAAATATTCACGACATCGTGAAAATATTCACGACTAATCGTGAATAAATTCACGATGTCACAAAAAATGTCACGACTGGTTATGTCCCTTCAGGGCCACCATATGCCGCACAGTGGTTCACATTCTGCAGACATGGTCATGTGGTAGCTTGATCTCCAGCTGACATGCTCATAATTATGTGAATGAATATGAGCATGTCAGCTGGAGTTACTCAAGCTACAGACATGATATGGCAGACGTGTAAGAAACAACATGTATTGGTACTGTGTGTAATATGTGACACACACACACACAACGTATACGAATGTGTCGTGTGTGCGTGCGGCTTAAAATGTTTATGCGTATGCCACAAAACGTCCACCACGTCCGATGTAAACAACCGGGTTTTGTCGTCATTTCTCGGGAATGGTCAGACAAAAATATAGGTTAGTAAATTTCCTTTTAGTACCTTTGAAATTAAGTAAACAATCGAAAAACATGAAATTTTCAGGGATTTAATTCAGGCCGTAATACCCCTTTAATTTATGAAATGATTAAATGTGCCAACATTTGCATATATATGTAAACAAGGTCACCGTCGCCGTCACGAGGTTTAATAAAAAAAAAAAAACCAAAGCAGATTTCCAAACACGCTACCCCTTCAACGCAATACAAAAAATATATACATATATCTACCTTTATGCAATTTACTGATTTATACTTACATTCACAACACGCACAAGATCACCCTGCCGCCGCCGACAGCCGTTGAATATGCTGCACACGTGGGCGCGGTGCACACAATCAAAATTGATTGACATCTGATCCAAAAACGTCAATCAACAATCCCTAGTTGATATCTTCTAATCAGTATCAATATATACAAGGAGATCGATATTACAACATTCGAGTTGAATAGAGAATGAACAGGCTGCACGTACAGAATTCCACGGTGCCTACAGATGAAAATTTGACACGAAAACTGTCTCAGCGATCACAAATAATTCGATCGACGGCCAGCGACACATATCTTGACCCGGTGGACGTGTGTATGTAGTCTGATGAGGGCGCTATTAAATCTTAGCAAGTGGGTAAAAAAAAAGGATCTTGAACCTTTCTTCTGATGTGATTAAAAGTTCCCCGTTTCTTGCTCTATGTTCCAACCATGGAGGAAATAAGGCCAAACCCGAATAAAGCAATCACTGGGAAGGAACAAACAAAGCTAGGAAATTCCAAGCTATACATGACCTTATAGGCCTACAGTTTTTAGCCATTTGTAATGGCATACTTGTAAAGTGAAAAACGATAAAATCTGATCCGAGCAAAATTGAGTTGCATCGTGCCCATCGTATTGTGGTCTTTTGTTTTACTTAGATGCCATCCATATTTTCATGATTTCCCATTACGGGCCTATGCAAAAACATTCCTTCGACGAAAGCCAAAATTACAAAATTTACAATTAATGCTGGAATTCTTGCAATGTGTGAAGTTCACGGCCCCTAAATCACATTATCAATCGAGAATAAGATTTTGAACTTTTCGGGAAATTAGATCGGCCAAAATTTATTTCATACATGTACTACACATCCTTATTAAAATACTCCTTTCATCTCATAGATTAGTATCATGTTTATAAATCACGAAGAAAATCCCGGATAAAACTTTAGTAACTTTCAAATGTGAAAACAATTTAACAAATCAAGTCCTGTAAATCTGTGACAAGACTAGACACAAAATATTGAGAAAAAAAGACAAACATTCTGCTTCCAACTATTTTATTCACCCAGCTTTTACGCAGTACACTTTTTTTCAAGAACAGAAAGAAAACCATTTGTATCACTGATGTATTGTTGCTCACCAGAAGATGTTATAGACGTGTAAATAAAACATACTGAATTACAATACAAGGTAAAATGACAAAAATTCAACTTCAAGCGATTAAACAACTGTTTTAGTTTGATTTTTCACGTCTAAACTTGGGACAAAATTGAAAAAATGTTTCGCCTAATCAATGGGGAAAAAGACTAATTTAACTATATCCAGTACATATTAAGAGCAGGCTATTTTTTCACATGGAGGCAAAGGAATTTTAGAGAAAAAACTTTCTTGGGTAACAATGATTGAAAAGATCAGCTGCAAGAATCTACAAAGTACACAACATTCGGAATAATCATTAATAATACCGTACGATCACAATGTGCTCCAACTTCGACAAAATTGTTTCCATATTAGGGTTGTAATTTTGGGTTGTAATTTTTACACAAGATCAATATTACATCTGGTGGGGTTTCGACTAAATCGCTTTTCCCAAAACCACTTACGTCTTTAAAATGAAAGAAAATCCTGTTGCAAAGAATAAAAAAGTGTCAGAAACTAGTTAACAACTTCCACTAAAACGTAACTAAATAGCTACTAAGTACAAAAACTTTTACAATTGACCATTTTTCGACAAACCTCCCATGTAATTCTAAAGCACTTGTGCGTGGGAAATTTTCCATTAAAACTAATTCTACAAAACAGATAAATCAGAATATATACAGTGTGTATCTAACAAATGCTGGCTTATAATACAATGCAGTTACTCACAAATTTTTTATTTTTTTAATACTGGCGACAAGTAGTTTAGTTTCCAATGTCAGCATTGCATTTAGTTTTCTTTTACTGCAGGTTTGTAGTTTACATATGTATCTAGAATTCTCCCACTTTTCGAGGACCACATTTTGCTCCATTAATTCAGCTTGACTGTAATTTCAAAAGGCCTTTTTATCGACCAAAATACACTAAATTTATTTCAAATTCTGCAAACAATATAACACTAATGCAAAGAACCTTTGCCCTAAAAAAAAATGCTTCATTTATTTTCCAAAACAATACCACTATCTCTCCCGATTTAAAGTTTTTTTTACATACCAAATGAACGCTACAGGTTCACACCAAAAACACACACAAGTATGCAAATCGTGCGCTGAATGCAAAAGACAAAATACAACAGCATTGCTTTTCACATCATTTCCATGTATATCATTCAACCGCATTAGTTTACATCAATGCAGAAATGTTAAGAGTGCAAATTTTTATTTCTTAACCATCAAGGAATGCAAGGTCAAAGGTCAAGGTTCACGGGTCAACGGCATTGCATAGTGCACTCTACACAAACTCAAAACGCCTAAAGTCAGGATCATTGAAGCCATTTAAACATGCAGACAGTTATACTGTTCAACCCCTGTTTTAGGTTTCGGGACCAGGGGCCAGTACAACCAATCCATTTAGCACCACCCCATGATGTCCTGACCAAGCGCAGCGGCAACTTGTGCTCAATATCAGTGCACAAAAGTATGTACTTGTGCGATCAATGCGCACGGCCAGAACATGCAGTGTGGAACTGATGAGCTGCTTAATGCTGAAACTTGCTAACCACAGAAATATTTGCTTATAACGAACTGGTTACGGGCCAAGCTGCCATGCAACGTATATACTGCTTGTTTTCCGCTGACTTAGCTTAGCACATAGTTTTGGTGAACAATATTTTCTGCTCCATAGCTTCAGGACTTTGGGCCCAGGCCAAAAAAAGAAAGAAGTGTGCCACGTATAACGTGTTCAGATCAAAAATAGAATGTCAAATCAGCACCGAGGGAGATGTCTACTTGCTTGCCTCAGGAGCAACTTCAGCCGCTTCCATCTTATCTTCCGAGGCGTCATCTTTCTTGTCTTTTTTTCCTTCGCCTGAGAAAGTACATGAGAAAAAAAAAACCCAAGAATAAATTTACACAAAGACACATTAAACTATCCATAAATGCTTGATGCTAACAGGGTATTACAAGTTGGACGCCTAAAATAATGTAGTTGGAGGAGCCCATAGCTCAAACTAGAGATGACACCAAGCTTTCATAAACCCCCTGTGATGTTACTTTCAACTGCATTGTTATCAATATGTATTGAACTCAAATACAGAAATGCCAAATACAGTATTAGGAAGACTGATCAACAATGATTTAAAGCTATAGTCCATCATTTGCAGCCACCTGAAAAAGTAACTGGCGTATTATTGTTGAAAAACATACTTGGTTGAAAGATAGTAAGGGAACTAAACTCCCTGTGAAATTATTCTTTCTGGCAAGCTGTCATTTTAAGTAATCAACGAAAGAAGGCGTTTCCAACGGTGCATCTTAAGACGCACCGTAGGAAAATTTTAATTAGTTCGTTTTGTTATTCGGCGCAGCGCGCACAAGCATTGGCACGACGCACAGGCGCGCGCGGGTGCTATAATTCGTCAGATCAGTGCGCGACATCGCGTATAGCTGCAATTCAAAACAATTCAAAACATGATTCAGCAACTTTTGATTTGAAATTGAGATCCTAGAATGCTGTTTTTCTCGGAATATACAGCTGAAGCTGAGCTTTGAAACTTCATCAGGTTAGTTGTTCAGTATCCTTCATTAGATTTTGAGCACTTTTGTTGCTTCATACAAACAAAATGCACAAATTACAAAGGATGGACTATATCTTTAATACTTTAATGGAACCAAACTGGCCAATTGACAGGGCATTTTTGAAACCCCAGCTGGGTCTCCAACCTCAACATTGGGGCCTGGTCTCAATTCATATCTGGGACGAGTTTCGGACAAGTTGCAGACATTGTATCGGGTATTAAGTTGCAGGATTCTAAACAACTTCCCAAACAACTTCCCCGCAATCTTTCTGCAATGAAGTTATAAATTTCCCCAGAACATGTCCGAGACAAATGCAAAGCTTCTTCTGGACAAAGTGAATGATTCTTCCCGCAACTTGATCAGAACTCATCCCGGATATGAATTGAGATGGGGCCGTTAGGAAATTTTATGCCACTGACTTAGGGAACTTCGGCCCAATATGGGCTCATGTTCTGCTTCACAAAAATATATGCCCTTATCTGGACGACAGAGGATGTACATTTGGGAGGGGCAAGTAAAGGCTGTTCTGAAGCCAGAGATTAATCCAAAGCAGCAAACAAAACTTAAGTTTCGAAAACCTCAAGAGAATGAAAAAGACACTCGTGCAATCATCAAGGCTGGTGCCAGTGATGTACAGCCAGCCTCATTACAACTACTTGACAGTCTTCAGGGCACCACACTTACTGTCTTCCCCGCCTTCGCTCTCGTTGTGACGGCGTTTACGACGGAAGCCTCGGTTGGGAGTGCGCTGCTCCACCGCTAGGGGCTCCATGCCGAGCACCTTGTGGATCTGGCGGAACACGATCAGGCGCAGTGCGTGCTGGCAAGAGAAAACAAGAGCAAGTTAGAATCATGCATGATGTGCTTATTAGTTTCTGATGTTTCTTCTCTTATGTCATTCATCGAATGATATACTGGAAAGCTGGCTGATGGGCTCCTTTGAACTGGTTCATATTACTGATTTCCTGGAACTAATGTTTCACTTTATTTAACCCTAACTCCCTAGGCGTTTTTGCTAGGATGCAACCTCAATCCTTCAAAATCCCCCAACTACCTCCATGTAAAAATAGCATACAGCCTCAATCCTGCAAAATCCTCCGTTATTTCTTGGATGTGGTCCTTGCAGGGATGACTTCTGCCTCAATCCTGCAAAATCCTCCAGCAATCACTGCCAATACATTGAGGCAGAGCCAGTGACATTCTGGAGCAGTGCGGAGGATTTCAAGTATAATATAGGCCTAAATTTATGCTAGGCTGAGCATAAACAATACAAGGTCTGGTCTAAGACCTTGACACAGTGCAACCTCCGAAATCAGCGACACACTTTTGCCATGTAGCCTCAATCCTGCAAAATGCTCCATTTTGCAAAGAGGATTTTGCAGGATTTGGGAAAGTTAGGGTTAGAGTATTTTACATATGCAAACAACTTCTTTTACTACTGCAGTTGTATGACTTCTAAAGATGTCTATAGACCATGTGACATGTGACATCATTCCTGTTGGATGCCAACAAGGACAACAATTTCCCCTGTGTCTTTCTCATCTCTTCATAATAATTTACCTGTGCACTCGCTGTGATGTCCTCGCTTTGCTGCTTGTCAAGATGAGCCAATGCATCAGTTGGATCCTTCTCACACGGATCAAACAATCCAGGCCCACCTGAATAAATACAAATAATATCAGCCGTTATTACATGTACGTGTAGGTTGTATACCGATCAATCAAATGAGCCACATCGTCACTCATCACAGTGAGTGCCCGAGTGACATGGAATTGAAACAAGGTATTGCATCTGAGTCGATTTATCAGTTCGCTGTCTCCACCTGAAACCACTATATTGAGTGGCTCAATGTACACAAAGAGAAATCTCTTTGTGAAAATGGTGATGAAAATGGTGATATGTCATTCCCCTTGATCTTTACTGTTTTATGATTAACACAACTATCTTTAATAGGTAGCCTCTAGCAATTGGAACAATTATCAACCATCCATACCGTTACCAACTCTGCTCTCAGAGGTTGTGACAATGCTCCTAAGTGAAGGGAAAAATTAGAAGTACCTTTCTCAATGACAAAGGCAATTCGTACCAAAGGCAATATTCAAACCTATATCCTCAAAACCTGACAACAGGTATGTCAAATTGCCCCATGTGGTTCCGTTCCAGTAACAACTACTGATACCAAATTTCCATGAAACCATTTTTTTTTCCAGGGCTTTTTCTCCTTACTTGGTAGAAGCAGCCCTCCAGCGATTGCTTCAAAGATGCGACGTAAAGCATCTCCCGGCCTCATGGGCTGACCACGACTTGCGATGACGCGCTCACACAGTAGCTCTATCGGCTGTTAAGAGAAAAACGAAGTCCCCCAAATCACTTAAAAAAATAAACCTGACAAAAACGTTCCGATGTTGATTCTTGCATTTATTAATGTGACGTGTTCTATAGATTTTACCATTTCTTTTTCGTACTTCTAAATCTTAACCTCAAACCCGTAAGTGACTGGCAGCCTGCTGTACTTCAAAGCTACCATGACCAATCTTTTGTTCACAGCTTAAACAAACACAACATCATTATCACTGTGCGTCATTAACCCTTACCCTACTAGACCCTCCAACGCATGCCAATATGTGCCTCAAGAAAATCTCCTATGTTTTTTGCATGGCCCTCCAATATCTGCCATGTCATTTCAAGGGTAACTGGACAGGCACTCCAATACATGCCACAGAGAACAATGAGAGTCCTCTGATAACAAAGTGAGTGCCCCCAGCTGGTCAGTATCAGGCACCCTCCAGGGCCTCCAACTCCTGCCAATTGGAGCCTTCACAGTCAAGATAGTTTATCCTCCAATTAACTGCAGCTGGAGGGCATTGGCATAACCAACTGACATGCAGTAAACTACCCTCAGAGAGTAAGGGTTAAAGTACGAAAAGTTCAAGACATTAACCAAAGGTATATACAACCTGTCCTGCCCTCACAAAATGTAAAGTTGCAAAAATTCAAGCTTAATGATTTTAGTATCAATAAGTAAAGTAGAACAAGAGTCTTTTTAAAGGTCAGAAATGATGCACGTTGAGTCTCTAGGATCTTTTCGAAAATTGCAAATTCTGAATAGAAAAGAATGTTGCATCATCTGATATGAGTTTTCATCCCAGACTTAACTTTCAAAATTTGAAAGCTGGTAAATTATTTTAACCTTCAAGGGAAAAACCCCTGAAAACGTACCCATCCATTGAGAGGTGCCCAAGTAGGGATGCGCTCACAGAGATCTCTCAGGATCCGGATGATCATCACGCAGGATTGCAGCCCCGTCGCCCTAGCCTGATCACAAAAACAAATCACGGACAAACACAGAAGGGAAAGACGTCAAAGCAAATGCTAGTTGATGTGATATCAGTATAACCACTCAGTCTACACTGTGTCAGTGTCACAAAATGTGAAGGATTAATGAAAGACTTTTGAGACGCTTGATGGCAGCAAACGTACCGGTTCTTTTAAACTGTTTACGTCTTGTTTAAGCTATTGTGTGCCTGTTCAAAATGACATAAACAATGGAAAATGACTGGTGTGTTTTGCTGCCGCCGAGCATCTCAAAAGTCTCCCAAAATTCAAAAATCAAAACTATGACATTTTGAATGAAAACCTCTCTGGTTAATTAGGCCAATGTGTGGACAACTGACAGGTCCAAGGACAGACCCATAAAGAACTCAACAAGTTATTGTGAATCACTCTAAAAATGCTCCTAATTTTAATATCAAATAAAATAGTGTCTCAACTAAACAAACATTTAAAAAAAATGTTATTTATAAAATATTAATCCTGTTTTTCATCTACTTTTATCAAGGAATAACAATCACTGCGGATTCTTATCCCTTGTGACCTTTTTAATGAAAATATTACGTGAAAAATATGCATACATACACATTACTTGATTTGAATGCTTATGTACCCATACAATTCTTTAAAAAAAAACCATGAAAATGACAAACTAAACTCTCATAAAATTCGGCAATTTAACAATCTATCCCCCCTTTTATATCTTACCTGTTTAAATTTTAAATTGCCAAATCGCTAAAAGTCACATGCTAGGTGGTTATTCAAGTTCGGCTAATTTTTTGTTTTAACTTACCTGGGTACGGCGACAGTGCATTCAAACACAGATTAATATGCTTCAACTCTGCTACAAATCTGACAAGTGTTTCACATTTCAGTTTTGTTTTTCGGTTTGTTTTTCCAGCTGTAAAAAAATTACTTCACTATCAACTACAGTGAAGTTGACTTTGTTTTCTAAAAAGAAAAAAACCAAAAAAAACCCCAAAATAACACTACAGGTAATTTGTAACCTTACGGTGTTGCAGTTGAATGGCTGCATCAACTTAAAGGGAATATACAACATTTGCTTTTGCTGTAATTTTCAGAAATGGATGGATTTGGGGGGTTAGTATTTTATAGCAAATATTGTTACTCTGACTTGTTTGACGTTTTGGGTTTCCAGATTCTGGAAAACCAAGAAAAACAATCATGTTCTTGTAGTCTGGTTCGCTGACCCCACGTAAGATGAAACGGAGCAATTTATAGATGTAAGGGAAGAGAATTAGTCCAGCTGGCTTGTACCCTTGAACAGGTGTGTAATTGATTGCAAACAAAATGGGGACTAACTAAATATGGTAAATTGGGAGCAGTATTCAAATTTCCAATGCTGGTAGGCCGATTTTGAAATTATTAAAAAAAATACCATTTTTCTTGAAAATGTCAGCGCACCAGGTGCCATGATTTTACAGGATGCTTTAAAATGTCATTCACTATTAAACAGTCCAATAGCTTATTTCGCAATAATTTGGTAGTTTTGTTTTTTGATGTTTGCAAATGTTGTATATTCCCTTTAAGTTTTTGTAATGTTTACACAACCGTAGTTTGGACACACTTCCCCACAAAATTTTCTGACAGTCTTCTGCACAAATTCCAGCACTTGGCCCTCACTTGTCAAACTCCTAACAGAGCACACTAGAAACAACAATGCCCTAGAGAGAAATAGATTGAATGGAATCGAACCTGAAACCACTTAGCATGGCGTAATGCAGCCAAGGCTTCTAGGCATTTTTGCCTGTCCAAGACGTCGGGTGGGTCCTTAGCCGTATCTATAGCATAAATCATGACACAGCCTTTTGACGGGATGGGTGTTTGACCAACACGCCGCAAAATGTTTTGAGAAAAACACCTCACGCCGCAACCCAGTCGCGGTCAAACGGTCTGACCGGCAGGGCGGGTTGCTGAGGGGGGACAGGCAGGCCCTGGGAACACACTCGGCACTTGGGGTGTGGTTTCGGACCAACAGGGGTGTGGGAATTTACAGCTAAGTGTTTAACAATTTAGTGATTTGTAGAATTTCGCAGATATGTGTTTGTGTAATAGGAGGTGAACCTCTCTCAAAATTTTTTAAGCAACCTGACAAAAACAGTTTCAAAAGATGGACTTTTGTAACCAAACCCCACAAGAGTGCACCAAGGGAACTAAGAACAAACCCTAGGAACGTTTTGCTCAAGTCATATAAACTGATGTTTCATACTTTTATCCTATAACAAGACAGTATATTGCAAAGGGTTTCATACAAAGAGTTGGTGTAAGGGTTAGTTTGTGGGAATTCCAAGTTTTGAGACTGAATACCTCAAATAACTTTGCCTTTCAACGTTTATTGGAAACAGACAATATTCAACTAAAGTTTTTTTCATTTCAAAACTTCTGAACAAATCTTTTAAAGTGATTTTCAAATGTTGGCAAATTGCTGTTCACAGTCAAACACAAAACATTTTTAGGAGTATCCCCAGGAACCACATTGCCGATTGTGACCATAGAGGGCGCCACGTCCCCCCGTACGCGAGTGCGACGGATGATCAAAAATCCTCCTCACTGATGCCACACATCTTAACAGACTGGCGGAGAGCTTGAAATGAAGAGCAGATGACTAAATATGCAAAGGGGTAGATTCAAAAAATACAACAAAGACAAAAGAGACACACAGGCAGAGTCAGGAGACCATACAAGATGGCCGCCTAGCAATGCCAGCCTCTTTCAATCAAATGTCAATATGGAAAACATAAATCATCAGTTTATAGGGAAGATGGTGAGTTCATTTTTCTTTCTTTTCCTTTTCTGGTGCAAAATCCGATTAAATCTTAAAGAGGAGTGTTTAATTTCACAATTTTGATTTTTGCTCTTTCCCAAACTGTAGTTGCATGTACAAGGTCTGTATCAGAAAATATCTGCCTCCAAACTTCATATTTTCAAACAGGAACCAAGAATCTGACTTAAAACACATGGGATTGAGGTTTTGGGCAAACCATGCACCTCCTTTGAAACAATTTGAACTTCGAAAGTAAAGCAGACTTGATACACTGTAAGAAACGGTCAGGTTAGTAGGCAATATTGGCAATACAATTGGCAAACAATTAATATACAAAAGGCAGCACGACAGAATCAAAACTCTTGTACATACACCATTGTCCTCGACTCAAAAAACCGAGTTGATCTTAAATTTTCCATATTTTCAGAATGTAAAAAAAAAAAAATCAATACAACCATTTTTAAACTACCCATCTGCAGCAGTTGATCTGTGCCAGGCAGTCTTGAGCAAGAACACAAAGCATCTTTTGCCAAGAAGTGATTTTCTCACAATTATTTTACGACGGCTCTCGTTATAATTTACAAAAACCATCCCCAAAAAAGGGTTTGATAAATTTGGCGACTTCTTTTCAATTGCACAATGTTGGGGAAATTTCATCCATTTCAAAATTCATTTCTGTAATATTTTTTTTTTTTTTTTTTTTTTGGACAAGCTCTTCATTGGCAAGATTTGCCTGGCTCATTGTCGTTTGGGGGATTTCCCCTCTTTGATGGAATCCAACCACAAACCTGCAGCATCAGCCGCTGCCTCGCGCATGACGGGAGACGTCAGCGTGACTTTCATGGTCATCTTGGAGGTTGGGCTGGTGACAAGAAGGCCCGCCTCCTCCACACACAGCTTGATGTCGTACTTGTCCTCCGTCACCTCCTACACAGCAAAGCAAGCACAATGCAAGACACTTTAATAACACCTTCATTACCATTCAAGTCGGCAAGACGCCTAGTGCCCAGGACACTTTTATAGTCAATAAAATTAAACAAGTGTTAACTCAAGGTTGAACCCCGAGGTACCCCATAAAACCCCATTCAACATCACAATACCCCTCAGGGGAACCTCAAGTTACCGCCTGTTTAATTTCCAACGAAACCTCACACAGAACACCCAAACAACACATACATTGAGTGGTTTTCAACAAGCTGGCATGTTAGTGTTAACTCAAAGTGAACCCCGAGGTACCCCATAAAACCCAGCTCAGTATCACAATACCTCAGGGGAAACCTCAAGTTAATGCCCGTTTAATTTCCAACGAAACCTCACAGAACACCCAAACAACACATACATTGAGTGATTTTCAGCAAGCTGTCATGTTAGTGTTAACTCAAAGTGAACCCCGAGGTACCCCATAAAACCCCATTCAATATCAGAATACCTCAGGGGAAACCTCGAGTTAACGCCTGTTTAATTTCCAACGAAACCTCACACAGAACACACAAACAACACATACATTGAATGGTTTTCAACAAGCTGACATGTTAGGGGAGAATGCAATATTAAACAAGCGGTGATTCGAGGTTTTACCCCTATATATCCTCGAGGCGAACCTGAGGTTACCGCCTCAAGTTCGCATTCTCCCCTTTGTACATTCTGCCCCCATATTTCATCCATATACCAACTGATAGTATTTAGGATTTTTGAAAGTATCCACGAACAGCTTGAGGTACGGAGTGCCATTTATTCATGTGATGAAAAGGCTTGCAGTTTGATAAATTTTAATTGAAATCATGATTTTCAACCATCCTTATTTCTACATTCAACCAGCAGCTAATGACTCTGGTATGAATTTCAACTTATTACAAACATTTTCAACTTTGCAACAAGCATCATTCCCCACTGGTGGGAACTAGGTTCAGTTTAGTGAATCCATCAGATTCAAGTAAGAATTTGTCAGCTTGGTGGAGTTATCAGCCTCATGACTTACACTGAGTTGCTTGGGCAGGCAGTCAGCGATGCGTTCCAGCAGAGTGCGTGTGGGCTTCTCAGCGCACAGTACCACCAGGCCCATGTTGAGATCCCCCTTCAGGAGAAGTCCCTTGGCCAGGACGCCGATGCGCATCACTCCCTTCAGGACACGCACAGTGGAGTCTGGTTTCTCTGCTTGGCTGTAAATCATATAGGCAAAATCAATGGTACCATTGATACTTTGACTTGGCTATGTCTGAAACAGGTGTCTAGAGCTTCAGCTGTACCTGTAATAGGCATGTTCATACACAAGTGCCAATTATTGAAGACCTACCTACTCAATAGCTCTAGACCAGAGGTTCGGATGGAGTCTTAGAGTGGAAGAAGTTGGCAGGTAACAAGTGTGAGTGGACAATACGCTCTGGCCATGTTGAAAGAAGTCTTGCAAGAAGTCTTGCATGAAAGTCTTGCTTTTATATCGATCAAAATGATCCCTGCCAGAGCTGAAAAATGCGACGCCGAAAAATGCGAAGCAGATGGCACAGACAGAACACTATACTTTGGGTCAATTTTCCGGGGACAGACAGACAGACAGACCATCCAATCTTCCAAGATATTTAAAATCCATCAAGACATTTTAAGAAGATATTTAAAATCCATCGAGACATTTTAAGAAGATGTCACAAAAATTGAGGAAAGTAACAGCCATGCACATGGGACTTGATGCCTCTTTGAGTACAATGAACTTGCAATTTGTTTCCTGAACAGTAGGGGATTTTGGAGGATTCAGGAATGTTCCTTGATAGTTTGGAATTAACTTAAGCCAGCACCCTACCCGTCTCCTTCCATCTTCTCCGCATCTTCCTTGGGCTCAGTCTTGACTTCAGTCTTGACTTCAGCCTTGGGCTCCTCCTTCTCCTTAGGCGTGTCTGCCTCGGCTAGGAAGTCCGACACCATCTTGAGGGCCTTCTCGCAGTTGGACACCATGGCCTGCACTTGCTGGAGCTGTGATGCCAAAAACAAAAAGAAATAAAGAAATCTTCAACATTCTCAATATCTTCAAAAATCTCAATATTTGTTACGTTTCAAAATCATGTTCACAGAAAGGATTGTTTCCTTTTTACCTCAACCTCCGATGGGTACACGGCAGCGTGTTTTGCCATGACGTGGCGGTCGATCTCAGAATCGGGCCGTTTCATGATGTCCATCTGTCCGGGCATCTTGGGTGGGACAGGCCTGGGATGCGGGATGCCGCGGCGACGCTGCCACTCAAAGAACTCCATCTCCTCATCAAAGAGGCGACGCTCCTCCCAGTAACGCTCCTCCTCCATGCGACGCCAGTACATGTCCTCCTCATAGCGTCTTAGGATGCAGGGAAGAAATTAATTAGAGTAAGTTCACGCCTCTCTGTTTATCACATCATTCAAAATGTCAAAAAGGAGTGATACCCAAAAAATATTTAAAAAATTAAAAAACCAATCATCAATAATTGTGTGTGTATAAGTCTAACGGTAGACTACCAATTTCTACCAATCAAGTTTGGTTTTTGCTGTTTCATTGGCTCATGTACTTTATGTGCACTGTTCATTTCTTCAAATATAGATAATCTAGAAGGGCAGTCTTTGGCAGAATGATGTTAATAAATTATTACAGGCTGGTTGAATACATGTCTATCACAGCAAAGAATGTTGCATCCCGACACCATTTTTTTCATCATATATCATCTGAATGAAGGTCAGTCATTGCAAAAATGTTGAAAAGACATGAATCTGGGACTGAGAAACATTTGAAACAAACCTTTGAAAATGCACTCGACTATCCATAGACTTTGTACACAACCAAAGCAGTGGTGTCTGGATACTACTTTCTTTCCAACTTTGAAAGGGGGATGGGTACAGTATGGACTAGGAGCGCTTTACCTTGCCTGTCTTTGTGTGTTCTCAAAAAAAATTATAATCAATTTTTATATATAATGTATAAAGGCCTGTTCATATATCATGCAAAAAAAATTTGCTGCTGTGTCACAAATTCGCATTCATGTTCAGGCCGAGTTTTAACCAGCACACAAAACTCACAGCACACCAACAGCATGTTGTATTTTCATTGCTGAGACGGCACCTTCGCACTTTTCCTTTCTTTTTGTCTATCTTTCTCACCTGATCTCATCCTTCCAGCGGTTTTCCTCCTCCCGATGTCTCATGAACTCCTCCTTGGCAAACTGTCGCCTCATTTTCTCCTCCTGGGCCTTGCGAGTCCGAGAGGTCGGCTTCATGTCCACCTGGTAGCTGGGGTCCACTTTTTTCTGTGTTGGAAACGGAAGCAAGTGAATTTTGACATTCGAATGACAGCTCATTTCTTGATGCATAATTTGAAATGAGAAGTTGTGCTCCCTTCTTTTTCCCCAATGGGGTAGCTTGTCATTTGGTGGATTTTGAAAGTATGGTCCAGCCACAGCCAATTGCAATTTTAATAAATAGGACCAAATCTGAAGTCATACGTAATTTTCAACCAACTAAAAGCTGTCAAACCGCACGTCCATTTTGTTTCACAGCATGACGAGCTTGAATGAAATATCGGTTGGGTGACTGCTTTGACTTTTGTCAGGAATGACTAGTTTGTAGTATACTTCATCAATTATGGAAAAAACTACTGATGGCTAATTCTAAAAAGAGTGAATTTCAGTAAGTCTACTTCAAATCCTATTTATATAAAGGTGTTAGTAAATTTGCTTTCAAGAAATGTTCACTATTTCCTGAAAAATGCTAAACCTACCTTATACTGCAGACGATGGCGACGTCCCTTCATGTGCATATCCTTGGCGTTGGGATCGTTGAATTTACACTCACACAGCTTACAGTTGAAGCTGAGCAGCTTGCCTTCATCATTCTTAATCTCCTCGATGTAATCCTCTCCCACGGGGATGATCTCCTTCTCAAACTCCGCCATCTCGTCCTTGACTGAGGGGATTAAACATTGGGATTAATGGGATCAAGCAAATCTGAATACACTAAAAAATACGACGCATCCAGAATCCGCATCGTTCAGTCATCGCGAAGTTTTGAAAACAAGGTTCGTACTGTGACATGACGCGCACATGACGCGCAGCAGATACCGAGTGAGCGCACAGGGCGTGCAGTTTATGAAATACAGGATGTTCTCTGATTAACTGTCTTGGGTATTCATAAGGAGCTCGGAGCAAGGGGTTAGTGAAAGAACGCGCCATGCGCCAATGGAGTCGAGGCTGAAAATGCTGTTACCTTCAGCAGTAGCACCAGCAGTCTCTGCAGTGGCAGCACTAGTCTCCATCTTCACATCGGTCTTCTTGTCAGCCTCCAGGGTAGTGGAGGTCAACTTAGCACCCCCTACATGGGAAGATGACAGCATGCAAATTGAAGTTTCAGTGATACCTAATCATATCCCTCTACCCCTTTTTTAGAAATATTCAACATGGAGAACATGGTTTATTTCACTGATTAAAAAAAAAATACAGACATTACCGACTGATGGATCTTGTTGGATAGAGAGGATTGAAATTATTACTAATATATCACAACTAAAAGGTTTGTTTGGTTACTAAACAAAAAAGCCAGATTTCCTGTTCTATTCTGAAAAGCACATCAAGAATACTGGAGAGGGTTAACTATGGTGGTTCCTCTGCAGTTTTTTTTTCACTCTGGATTTGACTCTGGAACCATACCTCAGCGCTTTTTTTTTTTATACAAGAGCACGTGGTACAGAAACTACGGCTAATTCCTTGCAGTGACAAAATTGGGACATAAAGCCGAGGTAAAGGTTTTTTTCTCGTTTGGTTTATTCCTTTGTTTTTTAAGGTTGCACCATGAGCACCTATCCTTACCATGAGCACCTATCCTTACCATGAGCACATATCCTTACCACGAACACCTAGGTGGACATGTACACATTGTAAATGCTTATATTCGTATTTTAGAACCTGGAGCACATTGCATATAGATACTAGACATCAACAAAATTGTTAAGCACAGAAGCTGTTCGCTTAGCAAAAACAGGTCCCTTAACAAAATATGTCACAGGGCCTATATTGCCCATGGGGTGTAGATTGACTGGTTATCACCTTTTTGTGCTAAGTGCATACATTTGCCAAGCACTATTTTCTGCTTATCGGATCTAAAAACAAATTGCACCAAGTGTTGGACTTAAGCAGATTTAGGGTTGATGGGAATTCCAACTCACCAACAAATGTGATCTTTGGAGTGACTATTTTCTTGACCAGCGGTTTGGCTTTGGCAGCGGCGGCGCCCACGGTAGGGGCCGATGCTGCAGTCTTGCCTCCCATTGTCGGCGCAGCGGAGGAGGTGGCCGTGTTGATCTTGATGGGGTCCGAGGAGGGGATGGGCTTACCCATCTTGGTGTGGAGTTTCAGGACCTGGGGGAATAACACAGGTGCGTGGTAGAGATTGGCGATTGGACATGCTTCCACAAAACCCGAGTACAACAAAGTTTGCAATAAGCAACGTAAGTCTTCATGTAAACAGTTGTTCACCTATCCATTGTTAGAATTTGTAAAATACTGCTGTTCAGACCTTTGGATTATACCCACACATCTGTGTACGGCCCTATTTCAAGTTCGGCTCTTTCAGTTGAGAATAACACAGGACAGTTGAGAAAATGCAGCAAATGCTATCAAAATTGTTACGGATTTGGGAAACATTGTATCCTCTAAATCTTCAAAGTTAATAAAGTGTTGCCATCTTGCATGCACGTTGAGCAAACTCTGTAAACGTGACGTGCATGTTCACTTTGGTAATTCTGTTAGTCAAAGGTAGCCTTGCATCATCCCTACAACTTCATTTATGACCAACTCATGGTCCCTACCAAGTTAAGGCTTCCAATTAATTCACACCAACCCTTTTTTTTTAGTTGACGTCAAGGGACTGATGATAGATCACAACTACATCACGTATCCGGTCACAAGTAAATCACAAGTCTAATCACAGGTAACAGGGAATGAATAAAAAGGGAAGTTTTGTCACAGTTCATTTGAATAATTTGCGAGTTGAACTGGGACTGGATGACTACTGATAGACTTGTGATCCATCATGAGTGATACTTGTGTTCCATTATTACTACATCAAGGGCGTTTTTTGTGTTCGTTTTTTTCTGAGACACATCTAATTTGCACAGTTGAGACAGGAGATCTGAGACAATTTGTTTCTCTTACTTTCTGATGCTTAGCTCCGTTGAGATGAGCCTTGTAAGCATCCTGGCCCGTACAGGAGACATCACAGAGCTCACAGCGGAGGGCGATGCCCGGCCGGCCCGGTGCTTCCTTCTGGCTCTGCTCTTTCTTCTTGTGCTTCTGACCTTCCAGATGCTCCTTGTAGGTCTAGGATGGACAAAAGTAGGGAGGCGGTTAAAACATACCAGAACCTGTCCAAGTCTCCATATTGCACACTGGTCATCTGTAATGCTAACAGCTTTTGAAGTACAATGCCACATGAATCTTGCAGAATCCAATAAGAAGAACAAAAAGCATTTGTTTACATCTCATTTAGAACACTAAGATGTTAAAACGTCCTGTCTCTTGGCTCTTACAACACACAGAAGGTTAAGGGTTTGCTTGTCTACCTGAAACGAAACTATTTTGCAACATCATTCAATCTGCAACCATAACTCCTTGGGCATTTTCTGTGACCAAGTTCCATTTATCTTCAAGAATCTAATGCTATTCAGTTAATCTAGTGGCATGATCTCTGTACTTGGATCAAAATGGCAACATCAAATCCCCAAGTTTAGTGGCTGTGCTGTTCAGAATCAATCAAAATACTACAATGATAAAAGCAGAGGGTGAAACTGTACTAACAAAAACTAAACACATCACAGCCATTTTACATGTTACATACATGTGCTTAAGTTAGTAAACTTTCACCGTACAAAACTTGTTTGGACAAAGCTGATTAACCCTAACTTTATCAACTCCATCAAAATCCCCCCCCCCCACCCCCATTTGGGGGGATTTTGGCAGAAAATCATGTGTACCAAGTCCATCAAAATCCACCAGCACCAGTGGTGGATTTCAACGGATTTGGCCCTGAAGAAATGTGTGAAGCTGTGTGAGTGATGGATTTTGACGGACATGGTCTTCTACTTAGTAACAGCCAGTAGGGAGTTCGGGCCAACATTGTCTGACCCAAAGTTTCATACTCTGTCAAACTGAGCTGAGTGTGACTCGACAGATAGCGAGCTACCAACCTGGGGTCCAGCACAGCTGATCTTGCAGACCTCACAGTAGTGGATCTGGGGCTGCTTGGGCGGCATGCGGTCCTTCTTCTGCACAAACTTGTTCTGGGTGTAGTTGGGCTTGTTGTTGCCGCCCTTGAAGCCCCAGCTGGAGCCGCCCATCTTGCCCTGCTGCTGCTGCTGGTAGTAAGAACTGGCTGCAGAGTATACCAGGGAGTCATAGCTGGAATACGAATTGGCGGCTGCTGCGGCAGCTGTGATGGGAAAAATTACGGACATTCTTGACCCTAACCTTCCCAGATCCTCCAAAATCCCCTTTGCAAAATGGGAGGATTTTGCAGGATTGAGGCTATTTGGCAAAAGTGTGTGGCTCATTTTGGAGGGTCGCCGGACCTTACGTTGTTTATTCAATTTAGGCGTAGAGGCGTAGATTATACTTGAAATCCTCTGCACTGCTCCAGGATGTCACTGGCTCTGCCTCATTACACTACATTGGAAGATTGAGGCTGGAAGAAATTGTTGCATTCAGGCAATTGGAGGATTTTGCAGGATTGCGGTTGCATCGTAGCAACAATGCCTAGGGAGTTAGGTTTAAATTATGAACGTAACAGTCATATTAAAATTTTTATAGACGATTAGCTTAGATCTTTGCGTAAGAGCCAAATATTTCCACCCAATGATGCCGGCTAAAGAAGCAGAGCCAATATTTTAGCTCAAACGTCATAACATACCGTTTTAATTCCGTTTTTACGATGGCTTTTAATACCAAACTTGAAGAGTTTCGGCAAATTTTTTGTTATTCCGTGAATAAACGAGTATGAAAACAATTTAAAATGTTTGTTTGATAAAACAACTGAAAAATAAAAGGTGACTGCAAGGGCTCTACTTGGTTTACAAAAATCTCTCTATGAAATCCCAATGTGAGATGTGGAAAACTCCACGTTCATCATTGATTCTTTTAATTTTATATATATTATATATTTTTTAACCAGCAATAACCATAACCCACCTCACTCCTCCAAAATCCTCCTGGCGGTTTTGGAGGATTCTAGAAGATTGAGGATGAATGGTGATTGAATCAAATGAGGATTCTGGAGGATTGAGGATGAGTGGTGATTGAAGCACATGAGGATTTTGGAGGATTGAGGATGGAAGGATTTTGGAGGATTGAGGATGAAATGCATTTTGAGGCAGGACTGTCTGATGATTTTTAAGGATTTAGGCATTGGTTATCCTTCATTTAAACATGAGTGCAAAATTTTGGGCTGAGGAGGATTTTGGAGGATTGACGATGAATGCATTTTGAGGCAGGACTGTCTGACAATTTTGAAGAATTTAGGTGCTGTTGCAAAATTTTGGAGGACTTTGGAGGATGGAGGATGGTTCTTAGCAAAAAGGGCCTACAATCCCGGCCAAAATGGTTGGGACACTTGGAAATAACCTTAGCCTCCAACGGTCACCAACTCCCCCGCTCCCCCGGTCAATGTTGTTCTCTTCAGCGGATGGAGCACACACCGCGCAATGAGAGACAACATTGAGCGGGGGCTGGGGGGTTGGGGGCCCAGCGAGATTTGGCCAGGATTGTAGGTTAGGGATAACCAGCAATTTGACAAAACCTTTAAAAAGAAGCATGTGCACACACGCGTGCACACACGCATGCTTGGGGACGAAAATATTGGTTGAGGATGCAAGTGGGATTGAGGATGGTTCCTAGCCAATATGGCCTAGGGTGTTGGGGTTAAGACTCCCCTGTTTACAAAGTACAGACAGTGCAACCAGTAACAATATGTAGAGGCAATCCACTCACTACTGTGACTGTGAAAGACATGTCAGCATTCAATCCGAATATGGGCAGGAAATCAAAGGAGGGAAATCAAAGGACAAAAACTTAAAAGAATTTTAGCTAATGCTACACTGAACACTGAACACAAGCTGATGTTTGCAAAATTGGGGAAAAAATCACAAAAAAGAGCATTTCACAACAATTTGTACAAACAAATCGGATCCATCATTCGGATAAATGAAGATTTCATTTCTTATTTTGCTCGAGTATCTTTGACCGATTCTGGTTTAAGATACAATCATGACCAACACATTAGATTGCAATACATGAGATATGAAAGCAAAGTTAGTTTAAAAACAATCTGAACAGATCAAAAAAGCATCCGGAGTTGATGTGCAGCAACATTTCACAACCTTTTTCTCTTTAAGCACCCCCCCCCCCATCTCCCCAAAACGGCCAATGGAAAACAGAATAAAGTAAACAATTTCAAACACCCTTCAACGAAATGCAGCACTGCGGTCCTTTTGTTTCATACTTGGGCAAAGTGTCAAAACTGAAAGTGATATTGCAAAAACTTGGATCAAAACTTCAGCGAACTGAAAACAAAAACGCAACAGCTGGCAAAAAACCAACAAGACAAAACACATCCAAGTGGGCAACAAATGGTACATCATGGACAAGGCTTCAGCAACAGGAATTGGCAAGAACAAGAATGTGTTGAAAAGGAACTGCACATTTTTCCAAGCAATGATTCTATTCTTGTGCGGGGGGGGGGGGGGGGGGGGGGGGGATTGTTGAATTTACCAGTGAAACTTTAACAGACCAAAACATTATGCCAAAGCGATTGCCAAAACCTCTAATTCTAATTCACAAAACGTCGGACAGTTGGGGCTGGCTCATTTAAAGCACATGATTTGACAGTTTTCATATAGGCACATGCAGCCATGCACTAGGTTGTGAAAAGATTGACAAAATCTTTTTAAGAAAAAATTTGACTTGATAAAAGTAAGTGTCACACAGCGTTTGCCACGACAAAATTGCTTCAATAACAGAAAACTTCAACATACATTGGTTGACAAATGATACAAATGCCAACCGGCAAAACCAAAAAATGAGAAAACACCAATGATTTACAAAGCTTTATAAACAAAAAAAAGCTGGCACTGATTGCTTTTGGAAAGTGCGCTGGCTCACAACTTGTAGTGGGGAAGCCAAATCTACTACAACAATTTCATGCAAGGCGTAAGAAACTGATCAACGGTTATATGTCACCTGTTAATTTACCTGGCTCCTTGGCTGATTGTATCAATTGAGATGGTGAGGAATGCATGAGAAATGGACAAGGGGAAATGGAGAAAAGAAATCAAATTGTAGGAATGGTCAGAAGTTACATGAAAGAACCTTCGAGCTAGGCATTTTTTTTTAAATAACGGGAAGCACCCCCTGCCTTTTTTTCACTTCAATAAAGACTTTGTGAACAATCTGTCCCTTTTTTAAGTTGTGAAACGGATATGGGTATGACCATGGGTATGACCATGGGTATGTGGATTTATACAGGAATACTGTATTCTCGTCTTATAATGGTTTTGAGATAAGCACAGTCCCCACACATTCCAATGAATGAAGAAGTTATCGTGAACATGTTGGTTGGGAAATGCTCCAACCTGGCAAATGTCACCCAATCCCACAAAATGAGTCTTTAGAAGAATTTTTCGGTAAATTATGTTTTAACCTGCACTAAAAGCCCATAATTTACTCTTACTTTTTGTTTATCACTCAGGTTGATATCTTAATACGTACAGAAACATGTGGGCGAAAATGTTTTTGGTCTCTATTTGACTTATACTTTGTAGGATTTTGTTCAAAGGCCTATTGCTCAAAAGTAGCACTGGCGACTTATGCCTCATTTTGTTGGGTTGATCAGATACAATTTCTTGAAAAAAAATTTGCTCCCCAAGAACTTGACTTAATTTCTAGATTCAACTTGTATCATTGTGCCCGACTTTAACCAAATACATGCTGTATTGTATAGACAGCAGTCATCCATAGGAGTATAATCTGACACAATCATGAACTTACCAGTGTAGGAGGTTGTGGCCGGGGTGTTCGCGTACGTTGGAGTCGTGGTTTGAGGGGCATACGCGTAGGTCACAACCGTCTTGGTCTGCGCGGGCTTCTGGACAGCAGCTTGGTGGTGGGTGGTGTAGGCCGATGCTGAGCCAGTGTTGGGGTACGCCGTCTGTTTGGTTGCAGCTGTAGAAAGAGAACACACAAAACATTTATTCTTGACCCTGACCCTCATCAAACCTCAAAAATTATCCAGGCATCTTTGGCAGACTTGGGAAAATTGAGGCTACCTGCTTTATATGCATGCATTGATATTGGAGGATGCATTGCGTCAAGGTCTTCACCTATACCTGGTGCTGTTTATGCCTAGTCATGTGCAAATTGAGGCAGTTGAAGGATTTTGGAGGACTCAGGATGCACTACAAAGGCCTTAGGGGTTAGGGTTAATAAAAAAATGTTGGCCACCTAAAACCTGTTGCAATGTACAACGACTACCCTTTACAAGCATGCAACTGGGAATTTAGGGGAAAAAAACGAGGAAACTCCAAACCACACGAGACTTTGTACAGTGTATTTCAATTTGTAATGGCATTCATGAGAAGTTAAAAACGAGGAAATCAGTGGATCCGAGGATCTTTAACACTCTTTTGAGGAGCTAAGTTTTGACCCTCCTGCAGTCTGAGAAGACACAGACAGCTAACAAAAATCAATCTTCTTCCTGTGTCATGCCTTAATTCACAGGCTAGCCACCAACAATCTGATCATTTTTCTGGTAGGCACTGTGATGGTCAAATTCCATCAACAGACAAAAGCAAGTATCTGGTAGGTACCGGTACAGCTGGCTTATCAATCAAAGCATAACTTATCAAGTTACATAATTGGTCACAGCCAGTTAATACTGCGTCATGAAGGCAGGGAGAACTTGAACGATATAAACGGTCAATTGATTTGTTTCGACTGTTGGGAAAGCGTTGTTGGATTTGCCAGCCAGAGATGGAGAAAGTTAATTAATGTACTGAAATGAGAAACCAAAATGCTGAATATCAAAACTTGAAGTAGATTACGTGCTAAGACACCCATTTCAAATACCTTGGCAGAAAAACACACCGAGTATTACTTACCTGTCTTGCCATACTTGTTGGCTTGTTGGTAGTAGGAATCGGTGGCCGTCTGCTGAGCCTGAGGCTGCTGATAGTAGGACTGCTTCTCGTAGGACGTGGCAGCCGGGGTAGACTGCACGTAGTTGTATGACTCACGATAGGTTTGGGACGTCGCGGGTGAGGGTGTTTGGGCATCCTGACGCTGTTGGGTGCTGTATGATTAAAGTGCACAAAAATACAATACATTCAGAGAGTGAAATTTTTGTCAAGCATCAAGCGTTTACTGATCATTTACCACCTAAAATACCAATGGGATCAGTACAACCTTAAAATGAGAGCGCTTTCTAAGTGGAACAGCTCAAAATAGATTGTGCTGCTTGATTTTGTTTCTCAAATACGTTGACAATGATTACAGCATCAAATCCCCAGCTCAGAGTCAAGCCCATTCTTGGAATAAGCATTGAAGATTAGAAGGATTGTATGGCAAGCCAGCAAAAGGTGTAACATTTGCAATGACACTTTGATATAGGAAATCTCTCTACGTAATGTTTGTGTGGTTCTGAGAAGAACATTTTGGGAAGTACGCTCTGCCAGTCTTAAAAGAGGCTTTCTGTCACATTGTATCACAGCATAAACATATTTACATAAGTATTGTCATCCAGCCGACCCCAGTGGTCGAGTGGTATGACATCAGCACTAGTAAGCAGGTCGTTGTGGGTTCGAGTCCCACCAAGTTTTTTCACAATCCCTCAGGACCACACTGAATATACAGCATTTATATGTCGGTGAAGGGCAAACTCAATATTGAACTGATTGAAAATCACCCTGACGCAAATTTCATCTTATGAACAGCATTGTTATCCAGCTGAAATGCAAGGCCGCATTAAACAGTTTGTAAATTCTATTATTTTATTTGACCAATGGCATGAGCCAACAGCCTAGAACTCACCCATAGCCATACTGCCCCGTCTGATGTGTAGCTGCCACAGTCGCGTACCCCGTCTCGTAGCCAGAGGCTGCCTGGGTTTGTCTAGGGGTGGCCGTGGAGGCGTAGGTAGTCTGGTGGGCGGCTACAGGAGTTGCTGCCTGATAGACGTGCCCTGTTTGGGTTGGGCCGTGTGCTGGGCATAGCCACTCTGCTGTGGTTGGCTAGAAAAGCAATGTTTAAGAATTCATTTGACTTATTTGCTGAGAAGAAAAAAGTAAAAAATGTTCTTTTGACAACAAAATACATCCATTTAATTGTGGCTGAATGTGGCATCTGATATTGACACAATACATAGATGTGAAATTGCCTTCAACAAGGCAAAACAAGAGTAACATTATTTTCCTTTTTGAGTCGTACTGCGCAGAGGTCTAAAAACCTGGACATCAGGCTAGTTTATGGGCTATACCGGAAAGAATGTTGGTAAAAAATGTTGCAACCTGACGCCACTTCCGCGATTGTGTACAAAGTCTATGGAGACTCAAGGAAATTAAGTATTTCTTAACAAAAATTGGAAATATTTCTCAGTGCCAGATTCATGTCTTATCATCATTTTTTGCAATGAATGACCTTCATTGAGATGATATAGGCCTATGATAGTATGATGAAACAAGTCAGGTGTGTTTACAAACACAAATGCCCCGCAACCGTGACTGTTCCCATGACATAACACCACTCTTTTAACATCAACTTACATGTACCTTGGTCACATGGAACGTTCATTAATTGACAGCATTAGTGTCTTCTGTAGGTTTTATATGAATTAATCCCTAATCCCTATGATCTCAGAATAAATACAAGATTTCTATTGTTTTAGCCACTGTGACCTTGACCCTTGACCTTTCGGCCCCAAATGCAATAGGCTTCTTAGGACTGCCAAGGACAATCCACAAACCAAATTTGAAGTTCATATGTAAAGTATATCTCAAGTTATCACGCTGACAAAATTTCTTTTGTTTCAGCCACTGTGACCTTGACCTTTGACCTTTCGGCCCCAAATGCAATAGGCTTCTTAGGATTACCAAGAACAATACACACACCAAATTTGAAGTTCATATGTAAAGTATTTCTCAAGTTATCGCGCTGACAAAATTTCTTTTGTTTTAGCCACTGTGAACTTGACCCTTGACCTTTTGGCCCCAAATGCAATAGGCTTCTTAGGATTACCAAGAACAATCCACAAACCAAATTTGAAGTTCATATGTTAAGTATTTCTCAAGTTATCGCGCTGACAAGATTTCTATTGTTTTAGCCACTGTGAACTTGACCCTTGACCTTTCGGCCCCAAATGCAATAGGCTTCTTAGGATTACCAAGAACAATCCACAAACCAAATTTGAAGTTCATATGTTAAGTATTTCTCAAGTTATCGCGCTGACACGATTTATCCGGACCCACACACCCACCCACCCACCCATACTTGTTTCACATGACTAGTGTGGACTTTCCATTGCTTTCGTGTAGTTAAGAAAAACCAGTGAAAAAACTCATTTTTCTCAAACTGTGAAAACTCTTTCAACCCAATTTTTTTTCTATGATTCCCTTTAGTGTTTCTCTTCATTCTGCTACAGATAAACCTAACCAAAAATGCCTCTAAACCTGTTTTCCAGAAATGGGGAAACACTGTGTGGACGTGGGCAAGTCCACACAACGTCGGTGCTACCTACATTATGTGGACGTCTTTTGTTCGGAAGTCCACACTGCGTATGTAAGACAAGCTCACCCACCCATACTTGTTTCACATGACTAGTGTGGACTTTCCATTGCTTTCGTGTAGTTAAGAAAAACCAGTGAAAAAACTCATTTTTCTCAAACTGTGAAAAATCTTTCAACCCAATTTTTTTTCTATGATTCCCTTTAGTGTTTCTCTTCATTCTGCTACAGATAAACCTAACCCAAAAATGCCTCTAAACCTGTTTTCCAGAAATGGGGAAACACTGTGTGGACGTGGGGTAAGTCCACACAACGTCGGTGCTACCTACATTATGTGGACGTCTTTTGTTCGGAAGTCCACACTGCGTATGTAAGACAAACTCACACACACACCCACACACCCACCCACCCACGGAAGGACAAGGCGGAAACAGTATGCCCCTTCGGCTTCGCCGCGGGGCATAAAAAGTGGGGAAAGAATTCCATACTGGGCCACCACTCAGACCTCAAAGTCTATGGGCCATGACAGAGAAAGTTTTAAGTATTTTAAGAATTTTTGCACTCCTTAAATAGTGCTTCTTCATCAGGTGGCCCAGTATGGAACTCTTTCCAAAAGTGGCGTCAGGTTGCAACATTTTTTCCAAATGTTGCAAACTGACACCACTTTTTTCTTCATATATCTCAATGCTCAATAAAGGTCAGTCATTGCAAAGCAGTTTCTTCATGATACATGTGATAAGACTCTCCATAGACAGTTTTGTTTTCTTGGCACAATTTCAGAATACCCCCGCCACTCAATCTATCCACCTCGTAAGTCGTAGCCGGCTACGGAGTCATGGTTGATTGCCCTCAATAAACCTTCTAAATCTAAGCGCTACTTGTATGTACTATGCGTCATGCTCCACTGCACTCCCACTCCGTATTCGCGTAGCTGCCAACAGGGTAGTTGGTTTGGACATAATTTTTTCAGCAACTCCCATTCCTTTTGTGTTGCTTCGTTCTCAAGCATATTCAAGGGGACTCCCACTCCGTATCCGCGTAGCCGGCAACAGGGTGGTTGGTTTGGACTTAGAATTTTTTCAACAACTCCCATTTTTTGTGTTGCTTCGTTCTCAAATAATGGACCCCCACTCAGTATCCACGTAGCTGGCATGGACTTGAATTGTTTCTTTTGCAGTGATTCCAACCTCGTAGCCAGAGATTTTAGGGGTGTATTCCGAGTGGCGGGGTATTCTGCAATTACTCCGTTTTCTTGACTTCTTGACCCTCCATAGACAGTTTTGTTTTCTTGACTCTCCATAGACTTTGTACACAACCGCTGAAGTGGCGTGTCTGGACCTACATTCTTGCCGCTAAACCTGATGCCTAGTTTTTAAACGCAGTGGCTATCGTTACGGCAGCCGTAACGCATTTCCCATTTTCTATCGTTACGGTAGTACTGCAACTTTTATAAAAACATGCGAAGAAAATATAAAATGAGAAGGAAAAAACGTTATGAAATTCGGACTTTATTTCCCTTTTAAAAAAAATCCTCCAAAGCCTCAGGTTAGAAAAGGAAAAAAATTTGAGTGCAAAACTGAGATGCGAACACGCAACCTCGCGGTGCAAAATCCTACCCTCTATCGACTGAGCTGTCGCACTGCTCGCTAAAACGTGGGGAAACAAATAATTATATACATGCGTGCGTATCAAAAAAGTATCGTAGAGGGCGCTAAACAACGGCTGCCGTAACGATAGCCATGATTGATAGCCACTTCGATTAACTAAAAGACCACAACATTTTAATTATTTTAACAAGTATTGGAGCAGGAAATTCAGCACAACCTGATAGTGATAAATAAAAGGGAATAATATGTCAATGAAATACATGAACATTTGGAGAGGGCGGGTTTGTTTTAGGCCCCCTACCTGTTCCTTCCTGCTGCCGCGGCGGACCCGCTCAGACGCGAGCACACAGAGAAAGCGCGCATTGCAATAGCGTGCATGCATAGCTAGCATTATTTCTCGACCATCGGGAACTGAGTAGAATGCCAAATTCGAGCATTATTAATCACACAAATTTCCCATGACTAAGATCAAATTGAACTGCAGATATTACTGCTTTTGCAAATCATCTTTTCAACAACCACTGACTTACGTGTACTGTGTACCGCCATGAGTAAAACCGAAGTAGTTCTGAGATGCCATGATGTATTCCTCACTCGACACGAGAGAAAAATATGGCGTCACCGGCTGCGTGCGCGTGCGCGCTTGCACATGCACAAAGTTATGGACGGCAAAACCACGTGTTATTTGCATACGGAAACTACCGAACAAATCCGGTGCTGTCCGGTGTCTGTACATCACGTCAACTGTACAACACAATTCGCATGAAAGAAAAAAGGGTGAAATTCGCGAATAAAGCAACAGCTGGAAAATGTCTCACTTTTCGTGTGGAGGTAACATGTTTTTGATCACTTCTGTAACAAGTATACAAAAGTTGTATTTTCATTGGGTTTTTTTTTTTACACACACTAGCTGGTTGACCATGGAGGAAGGAATAGTCCAATGTTTCTTTGCAATTTGCTTTGCACTTAATTCGAACATTCGAAACAGTTATCTTCATGATTTTTAACGCAATCGATCAAGAAAAAATACAATACACACGTGCATGTTTATTTTTTTAATTATGTACCACTGTACTTGAAATATAAAATTGGCGAGCTTTTAAGAAAAACATTTATAAGATGGAAATTTTTTTCTTAAGAAGAACATTATTAAATTTGTATTTTAGGCGTTCCGCCTTTACCCAAAATTACACTGGTACTTTGCTATCCAATGTTGCTTCATGCATGGAACCAGTGACACTATTGACAGCATTAACACAAGATTCACTTCACCCATGTAATGATTCACCTGACTTGAAGTCCGGATCTGACTTGAAGTCCGGATCTGACTTGAGGTAAAAATGTAGTCTTGTTCTTGGGTTCACGAAACTAATAATATATCATAATACAATTGTGCCGATGATTGAATATAGTGAGGTTACAGTTGCATTTTTTGTCGTTAGTTTTTATGGTTTTCACGCCTTACCTGCCGATCGAGTCATGCACCAACTTGTGGGCGGAGTCGGCATCAGTGCATGTGCAAATGAGACAAGATTAACAAATTCTAACCTCCATCATCATGCGCCATATCCATTGAGGTTCTGGAAAAAAATCAGTCAATCTGTGTACATGATGACATCTAATGAGGTCTGTTTGTTTTATGTCATATTTACTCCGTCATTACGTATGAAGTTGGAGATAGTGCCACTGCCAGCTCATCTGTCAAGTGTCATGTCTGTGATATATCATGAATGCATGAATTATCACTACATGATTACATCAACTGGAAAAATTGGGTGAGAACTTCGTCATACTCTTTACTGTGGTCACAACTTGTCTTTGTAATTATTACTTGAATTGAAGTTTCATTATTTTCTCATCATTTGTCGCTCTTGTTTTGAGAGGTGAGAATGCAGTAGGTCCTCATCATGGATGACTACGATGATAAACTCATTGAACTGGATAAAGTCACCGGAGCTGATGGATGCACCACTGGTGAGGAGGTAGTCTAGGGGCTAGACGTTGCTTGTGTGATTACCTTCCGCCGCGATAACCCGCTGTATACGGGACTGAAAATGGACGGTAATTACCTGCAGAATTCACGCATGTGTGCTAGTTCCCCCCATTTTTCGGGGGGGGGGGGAGGGGGAGATTCCAGGAGATGCCCTAGACGTTGCTACCGACAAATCCGTGTGCGATATTGGTTGGTCGTGATAGCACCCTCTTGCAGCAACGGGTTATCACGGCGGCGGGTTATCGTGTATCAAACCATGCAACATCTAGCCCCTAGACTAGTATTAGGAGGACGAACTTGTTCTCGTTGAAGTTCCTTTCTTGTGAAAAACATTTTAAATTTAGCAAAACATTGTCTTTCTAAACTCAGGCCAAGTAAAAAAATAGATATAAAAAGGTTTCTCGTACAGGCTTTTTTTAAAAGGGAAGGAAGGGGCCATTTGTTCCCCCTAAGGCCAAAAAAAAGAGTCTCCGGTTTCTGGTATGCGCGCGCGTCGCCGTAGCCATGCGCGTCGGCAAAATGAAAAGAAAAAAAAATTTCAATAAAAGATGATGTCTCAAAACCACCAAACTCACTGGTTTGACTGGAATCCTGCTGCTGCACAATTTCAACGTGTTTTTAGATGGGGTTATGATCGAGAATAAGCTTTATGTGGCCTCTCTGAACTCCCATATATTTGCACTAAGTTTAGTCGGGCACCATTTTGCAGTCATCCGCCGACATTTGAAGCAAAAAAAAACAGGTAAAAAAAAAAAGCCGCATCGCCGCACCACTTTTTGGGCAAGCTCCTTACCAGAAACCAGAGACTTTTTTTTTTGGCCTAAGATGGCGGATTGCAAAGACGGTGGATGGATTCTGCCATTTTCTCAACTGATACTTTAGTTTCCGAAGATTCTGGAGTTGCATACATGGCAACAATTATGCTGGGGAAAAAAAAGAAAAAAGAATTTGAAAAAAAAAAGAAGCTGGCAGGAAAAGGAAGCGGGCGGGGTTGAGAAACTGGCTTCTTGTTTACTTGGCCCAATCCAGTAGTAGTTACACTAACAGCCCAGGCCTGAGCCAGCCTGGTGGGAAGGGGGGGGGGAAGTGGACCTTTACAGTACTATCACTGCGTCACCTTCCACCCTCAAACCATGTTTTATTTGTAGAGTGTACATGTCACAGCTTCTATAACCTCAATTCCCATTATTACCACTTAGATGTTCTGTCAAATCCTAACAAACACAACCTGAACAATATCATCATTGAAGTCATCATCATAATTGCAATCGTTATAACAATAGGTTCGTTCTTCATGTTTTAATTTCTTGTTGAAGTATTTGATATGGATCTTGGCCCATTACAGAGCATCCTCATGTTAGCATTAAGTAACTCACACATTGAAAATTACACAAAAAAATAGTATTACTCATTAAATTTACAAGCCGACTTCACATAAAATTTTATACAAAAAGTTTTAGAACAGTACAGTTACAATACACCTTGATACTATAACATTATTGCAAGAGCTCTGTACAAGATGAGGAAATAATAACACCAAGCTGGAAGAAGAATGGACTGTATATAATGGATCTGCTTTGTCGCAGACTCGCAGTGCAGTTGATGGTTCTGTTCTGGTTAAAACTAACATACAAAACACTCCAATGCTTTGCTTTGCGTTAACATTATCATCTACCTTTTTCCTATTAGCATGCTGTTCATTGGCAACCAGATCCACTCACACTTTGCTTTGCTTCCCCACTTGTTTCTTACAGATCTCAAACGTTTGGATGCAAAACATCTGTAGTGCTCATGTTTTTGTGAAAGTATTCCCACTCATTCCCAAGCTCAATAACTGACCACCCTGCTAACATTCTGGCCTCTGCTGTGGATACTTGACAACAAATACATGCTTCATCTAACTGAGATTTAACAACTGAGCCTTAACTGAGCTTGATTCACATCATAGTCTGCAAACATGTTACAAGTGCGGGAGAACTCTGAACCTAATGTTAATGCTCACACTTCCTTGTTGGTGACAGGGGGTGCGCCATCACCCATGGCTTCCACATCTCAAGTCGTCGTTGACGCCGAGGGGAACGGATCCATCTCCCTAGAGGTGCCTAGCATTGACCACCACGAGGTCAAGAAGCGGACAAAAGCCACCGTTGATCCAAACAAAGTGGACATTGCCAAGCCCTTAAGAATCTTGAAGAAGCCTCGCGAGATCAAACTCAAGATCAGCATCATCTTTCTCTTCTGTCTCATTGTTGCTTCAACCACCTGCATCCTGGTGCTTTACGTCGAGGAGCCTTTGCATTACAAGGTCGGCAATGCCATGTTCTACGCGGTTTCCAGGGAGTTTGATGTCCATCTTAATGGTGCCAACATCACGAGGGGACTTATCGGGATGAACCTGCCGGACATGTTGCCATCATCGTGTGACCCTTTCGACTCACAGAACCTGTGTTTGGAGTACCCGGACATTGCAAGATTGCTGATTCACGTGGAGCAGCTTTCAGGGATGGACTGCTACAACTTAACCTGGGAGGCTCTGTCTCACGATCTTGTTCACCGAGACTGCTACAGCTTTGAAAATATCCACTGGTACGGGGGAGGTGTATCAGCCAATCAGCAGTGGCCGCTGGAGAAGATGAACCAATCACGTGCACCGTTTGTTTCCGGCCATAAGACAAACAGTTTTGGACCAGTCGTGGAACGCTTCTGGCTTGCCTCACATGGAGTTGGGATAAGGGTTAATGACGAGTCGCCTCTGTTTGTCAGCATCAATGAAGACGATCAAAAACTTTGTTTTGAGGCTACATACCATGACTCGCCTTTTCCAAATCCTAAAGAGGAGTTGCCCAAGCTGCAATACACTTTGTGTGCTGCTGTCGACATGCCATCGGTCCATCAAAAGATGATGGACAAATTCAGTAAGAAGCTACGAGCTGTGCCCCAGCAAGCTTTATCAAAGAGCCCCATGTGGTCTGTGCCTGCATGTTCAAGAAAAAGCACTTTTAATGAGACGACCCTTTTGCAGTTCGCAAGTGCTATTCGCGACAGCAAATTGGGGGCAAACTCTCTGGAAATCCAATGTGATTATACCACCAGTGAAGGAGATGTAGCGTTTGATGCAGAAAGATTCTCAAACATAGCCACAACCATTTCACGGATCCGGGACTTTGGAATGGACGTGGCCGTGGGAATTACTCTCTTCATGAACACCGACTCCAAGGCCTTCCAGGAAGGTCTCCGGAATCAGTACTTGGTAGAAGATCCTAGATCACAAGTTCCGGGACTCACCAAATGGAAGGACGGTGTCGCAGGTCTCCTAGATGTCACCAGCAGCAATGCCACGTCTTGGTTCCTTAGTCAACTGAAGACTCTCCAGAATACCTCTGGGGTCAGCTTCTTTACCTTCGACTATGGTCAAGTCAGTTACCTCCCAGTCGAGTTCCAAACCATGGAGGATCTCAGGAACCCTTGTACATTCACACAGCGTTATGTGGAACTTGCTGATAAGACCAACGGTCCTGTCATCATGCGTTCTGCTTTCCAGTCCCAAGACATTCCATTTATTGTGCAAACCATTCCAAAGACGTCAGTCTGGGGTTATGAAAACGGGTTGAAATCTCTCATTCCTACAGTATTAACTCTGAGCATTCTCGGATATCCATTTACCATGCCGGATCTAGAGGTCAGAGGGCAACATTACGACCCCTCGTGTTTCGTGGATTGTCTTCCGGATAAAGAGTTCCTCCTTCGATGGCTTGGGGTCATCGCGTTCTTTCCCGCCATGAAAATCAACGTCCCCATCTGGGAGTACGATCAGGAAACAGTCAACATCGCGGACCAGTTCATCAAATTCCACCAGGAAACCATCGCTCCTTTGGTGGTAAAGGTCGCCACAGAAAGTGGAAACACAACAGCGACTGTCATCCGGCCTCTGTGGTGGACTGCCTCGTCTGACCCGGTCGCCCAAAGCATGGACTCCGAGTTCTTGATTGGTAATGACATGCTAGTAGCACCTGTCTTAGACCTTGGACTTGTGAAGCGACAGGTGTATTTACCTGAAGGGAAGTGGGTGGATCAGCTTCATGGGACAACTGTCAACGGCGGTGCATGGGTTGAATGTGAAGCCTCGCTTAATCAGGTGCCCTATTTTACTAGGGCATGAGGCATCGTTTTTGATTGATTCATGCTTGAATCAATTCAAAGACTGTTGTTTTTCTCCAGTTCGTCACTTTGTCAAATCAAGGGTTTCCTTATTTGCACGTCAAATCCATGAGAGGCTCAGCACAAAAAGTTAGCACATCTTTATTGGTCAATATAATGGAAATAATAATGGAAACGAGCTTTCATGCTCGAAATTTTTTTTTAATGACTCGTAAATGATTGAGTTATTATTCCAGTTAATTGATTTAAAAAAATAATAATAGTTACTCAAACCTATGAATATTCAAACCCCTCATGAATTTGATTTGTAAAAAGTAACAAACAAGGATTGTGACTGATTTTCCTTGGAGAAATGTATGGACTTTTGTAAAACTATTTGGTAATGTCTCTGGCGAAGGCTAGTGTAAATTCTTTGGGAATTTGGGGTATTAGCAGAGGAATTTCTTGATGAGAGTACATTGTACGTGTAGAGTGATGTCACATGTTTTTTTGGTCACAAAAAAAAAACGATCAGAATGATAAAAGATGCATACTTTGCAGTAAACAGTAACACTGGACTGGTTTGAATGATGTCACCAAGCACCAAATGTCCATATTCTAGACCTGTTTACTTTAATTACTGGGAAGTAAATCATCCATGTACTTATTTACAAGAATGTTAAGAAACATGTACATAGTAATTTGGTCACATGCGCAACACACCTTATCTTTTGTATTGCGAAGGATAGTCTGTACATAATACATGTATATTTATGTGATTCATAGTCAGTTAAATGTTGGGCATGTACATTTACTACCCTCGCAGAGTCGCAGTCTTAACCACATCCAAAATCTCTCCAAATTTGCATTTGAGAATCACAACATCTGTCAAAAACTGAAGGGTTGTAAAGTATCAAGTACGTTTTCCAAAGTAGGAAGGTTATCAAAATCAAGCACTAAAGTAGAGAAACCAGACAGAAGGTTTAATGTATGGAGTGCCCTCTGGCCTCGAGTGCTTTCAGTCTAAAGTTGAACCAATCAGTTTTATCACCTGTTGAGTAACAAGGCTGGACGAAAATTACTTAACTGCAAAAGAATTGTGTTGGGGAGGATTGTGGGGGTTCTGTAATGTCTACCAATTGTGTTTTATCAAATGAATATGACAAAACTTGACATGAGATATGTCCCCACAAGCACACAATAATCAGTGTATTGAATATTTTATTCTTATTGGTCACAATGGTGAAGAATCCAGGTTTGCTTTGCTTTCCATCTACATATTCGTTTTCCACATGTGCATTTGTAGCTGGGACATCATGTTTTATTACTGTACACATACATGTACATGTACGTACATATTGTACAATGTTCAGTTATGCATTAAAAAGGCTATTCAAATACATCAATTTGTACATGTACATGTACTCGGCTGTAACTGTTGGCACACCGCATACTTAAATACTGTGAATTTTATCCGTCTTTTGAATGTAGTTGTTGACTACAACTGGTAAATGTTCTGTGTGCAAGTAAGGGGATTCTGTATAAACAAATACATGTACACAGTTTTATTTTAGTCATAAATGCACATTCAATATTTCATGAAGTGAAGTAACTAGGCTTACATGGATGTATTTGGCTTAAATATTTTGTCTCGATGGATTTTGTTTATGATGGTCAAAAATATTGATGAGCATACATATGGAAATAAATAGCATGTACATAGCAAGTTATATATCATAACTTCCCATTGACAAAAAAAAAATTTAAAGATATTGGGATTGTACATTTGTGTGTTTAACAACTAATTAACAATACTTGCTTTGAGGAACCTTTTTGTCCTTCCAGAGAATAAACACTTTGAAACCAACACCCACCTTCATTATTAATGTAGGTTACAATGTTGTGGTCGCCTCCATCACAAGTCCGTCACAAGTAAACGAGACGAACAATAACAAAGGAAAAATGCCTTTGTCACAGCTCATTAAAGCCAGAGTCCATCATTTGCAGCTATCCAAAAAGTGACTGGCGTAACTATTGTTGAAAAACATACTTGGTTGAAAGATAAGGGGACTAAACTCCCTGTGGAATTATTCTTTCTGGCAAGCTGTCATTTTGAAGAAATCAACAAAAGAAGGCCTTTCTAACGGTGCTTCTTAAGAAGCACCGTAGGAAATTCAAATTAGTAGTTCGTTTTGTTATTTGGCGAAGTGCGCACAAGCATTGGCACGACGCACACGCGCGCGCGCGGTTGCTATAATTCATCGAATCGGTGCGCGACATCGCGTAGCTGCGATCGGCTAGTGAAAATGTGTCTCGGACGCTGGATTCATGCCCAATTCAAAATATGATTTGGCAACTTTTGATTTGAAATCGAGATTGTAGAATGTTGTTTTTCTCAAAAAATGCAGCTGAAGCTAAGCTGAAACTTCATCAGATTGGTTGTTCAGCATCCTTCTTTAGATATTTTAGGCACTTTGGTTGCTTCAAACGAACAAAATGTACAAACTACAAATGATGGACTATACCTTTAATACAGTTATATTGCGCAAATTCTTTGATCGAATGCACATCACAATTATTATCCAGGCTGTTCATCAGGAATGGGACCATTATTTTCTGCAGCAGCTCGAGATCAGCGCATTTTGGTCTACCTTCACAGGTACCCATTGATACTCCTGGGTGCAGAGAGACAATCGTAGTAAAGTGCCTTGTCCAAGAGCACAAGCACCCATGTTCCCCGTCGGGGTTCGAACCCATGAACCATAGCACATGAGTCGAACACCATAACCATTGGACCACAGCGTCCCACATTTGTGTAGCTTGTGAGATGACTTATGAGATGCAACGGATGACTTGTGATGGACTTGTGATGGCCACACTAGGTGGGTGCGGACATCCAGGAATTTGTTACATTGGCTTTAATATCTAGCTCCAAAACCTATGTTCTTGAAACTCATTGGTCCGCGAGTCTCGAGTGCCAAATGGTAACAAATGGCAACCGAAGAAAACTGGTGTGCAGATGAACATTGTTTTCATCGGTTGACGTCCCGCCCCGCACCTACACTGGACTAGGCAGGATAAATGTGACGTACTGTGGCAAAATGAGGAATGTCCCCCAAAACCATGTTTTGAGTAATCAATGCCTGATACACTAGAAATTTCATGTGGAAATCAATATGTTTTTTTTCTTATTTTTTGCGTATTTTTTTTCAAAGCCATTTTTCTCGAAATGAGGTTGGCGGAGTTCAGCGGGACACTGTTGAAGTTTCTGTGGCATACATGTACCTTTGCAATGAATTAAGCTACATAAATAAATTTGGTATCATGTGAAAGCCAATGATTTGCACTTAAACATGATGTACATAACTTGAAAAGTCAAAGTTGGGGGTTAAAAAGTGGGGGTTATTCCTCATTATGATATGGCAGGTCACAAATATCTTGACAACAGGTCCATTTTAGTACGTATGCATTATAATATACATGTATATAATAATTGTAGACATGATAAATGTGGAATACCTTAAACATTCGGACATTATACTGTGTGCTTTACCTCCAATGTTTAATTGAGCTCAATATGAATGTGTGTGCAAGCTAATCTTCTGTACAAAGCACTTTCAAGTGTTTGGTACAAATTTTAACATAGCAGGGGTAAAAAAAATATATATTGTACAGACATTTTTTGATTTATGTAAAAGATCTTTATTGCTTACATATTATTACAAACAAATTTGTATAAGTAAATTTTTATTAACACTTTATTTAGAATTTGGTTAGATTTTCTCTGTCTAACATTTAAAATGTGTGGGATCTACATTTTAATTAACTGTCTGTTAGGTTCTATTTAGTTCTTGTTGATACATGATTGTTATAGAATTTTATTTTGTCATTGAAATATTGTCAGCATCTGTCTTTCTACCCAAAGGCCTGTAAAGCATACAATAATGTTAGGGGAGTTATAATTACACCATAGAGCTATATTAAATTACTAGAGCGCTAATCGCCATTCTGCGTGCGGAGACGCTTTGAAGCCGTCCTGGGCGCAGACATTTTGAATTCATGTGCGTGTTTGTAGAACATAATGAAATTAGATGGATTGAATTTTGAAAGTGTACTCTACATGCAACGCGCAAGTAGAGCACACGCAAACAACTTAAGCGCGTCATTGACGGTTCAAAAAACGTGATGGCAAAAAGCATCTGCAGCGAATACGCGCATGTGTTTCGCTGTTTGCGTAGAGCAAAATGACACGCTCATTTGCTGATCGTGCGTTTCGGTTTTGGGCGTATTGGCTTCGATAACGCACGCAGATAATAGCCGTACAAAAGCCGTACAAAATTTCCAGGTCTCCATAGGTTTGTGCACAAACATGGATGCGCCCAGCAGGCATTACTTTGTACACGAAGTTAGCGCTCTAGTAATTTAATATAGCTCTATGAATTACACACACTGGCATGGAGTTCTGAACTTTCTAAAGTTACATGTAAATATTATGTAAGCATGCGAGCTTCATTGTGTGTTGCATTATTGGACTTCAACTGGGTGTTTACATGTACATGAACAATGATCACAGGGGAGAAGTTCAAACTTCACTTCCTTGAATTTCCACATATACCGTAATTTCCTGCGGATAAGACGCGTCTTATCTGACTTTCTAGACCACAAAAACATCACTGCGCCTTATCTACAGGTGCGCCTTATCTGGTGTCGCTTGAGTTCAAAGTGACAGTCTTTGTGTGAAGAATTCTTTCAATGCCGCAATCAATAATGCGGTCAACCGAGGCTCAACTCTCCAGACATTGTGACCGTATTTTCATTCCAACAATGCCGCGATGTGTTGATCCCCCATGATCGTGCTTTCCTTCCAACAATGCCGCAATGCGTTGATCCCCCTTTAATAGTGATCGTGCTTTCGTTCCAACAATGCCGTCATACAAACGTTTTTCTTTGTGGCCGTTTTTTCATTCCGAAAATGCTGCAATCAGAATTACTTAAACGTTTGGAAATCGCATTCACTCAAATTCTATTGTGTGAACGTTGAGGGTGTTTATTGTACAGGATATCTTCGAAGTCTGCAAGCCTGAAGATCAAGATGAAAACAGTGCGAGTCGGTAAAAGCGGCTCAGGAAAGCGTACTTCCGGCCCGAGCGCCATGTTATGCATACAGAGACCGCGCGAACCTCAGTGCACGTGTGGCCGAACATTTTGTAGAAACACGCTGCGGTGTATCATCAAGTCCGAGCGGTAAAATCTCGTTAAAATATATATTTCAATGGACAAATACATACACAGAGAAGAGAGATCACGTTCTGAGAATTAATTTGCGGAAATTCTCTTTCTCCACCGATGTATGTTATTTTCTACGATCCAAATTCGTCCTGATACGCTACTGTAGTCATGCACGGAACATCATGGTCCGGTACCGTATGTAGGCCGTAGTCACTGGTTCCTGGCCCACATCATAGCTTTGATTCTGTAAGCATGCGATGGGAACCAACGAATACTGATGGCACTGCTGCCGCACGGAACATCGTACAGCGGCATGGCTTCGACGACGTGCATCACAAATGCGTCAGAATTACAGGCCTTTTCGTCAAGATTTAGCGTGTCAAGATGAAATAATATCGTGTAAACGATTATGTTGTGCATGCAAATGGCGTGTGTAATATTACTGTGCGTATCGGCGGCTGAAAATGTGATCGGCAATTTGTTTTCTGTGTACGGTGAGTAATTATACTGACACTGTGACAGCTCGGTTACTTCTCCCACGCGGTCTGGGTAAATTTTCCCGTGTCGAAAGTCCAAGTGCGGACAGTGGTCACATTTGACCATTTCTCATTTTACTATCGTCTCGGTAAAACCTTCCAAAAAAAAAGTCCAGTGCGGACACGGCTTAATTCATCCTCCGAATAGTGTGATCGTTCTAAGGCAACACAATGGCCCCTTTGTGGCGATGTACCGACACCGGGTGACGCCTGGTGTTCTTCTGTGTGCGGTCAAACATGCGTCTTATGGGGCGGTGCGCCTTATCTGTTGGCGTTTGATTTTTTTTGGGGTGATTTTAGGGACCTGCGCCTTATCCGCCGCGCGCCTTATCCGCAGGAAATTACGGTAGCGTGTGAATTAGGGCTGTGCAAACGGAACCAGGTACCCGAGTACCCGACCACTGGTGTCAGGAACTGGTTCCAGATTATGGGATCGGGTACCCGTAACCAACTTTACAAATTACTCGGTAACTTCTCAGGCAATTAAAAAGGCAGATTTTGAATGCCATTTGTGGGGAATGTTCCAAATGAAAACCCGGCTACATGGAAAACCAAAACAGATTAAATGCTTATGTGTGTTTTAATGCGCAACAGATGGCGCTTGCAAAGTTGCAGTTGACATTGTAAAGCTATAAAGCCCTTCAGACAACTTCAGATTTGATAAAAACTACTTCAATAGGGTACCCGGTTCCCGTATAAATGCACACCACTATTGTGAATGGGAGCCATATAGTCCCCGTGTAATACATGTAATGTGGATAATGGGTGCATATGGACACTACTCTTGAGTGTACTTTAATTTTATAAGGCCAGTATATGAAATGACATTCCAAAAATTGTGTTCCTCTTCTTGTAATGTGGCCGCCAGAATGGAGCATGAGAAATGTGAAATAATTGTTTGACCTTCTAAAGAAGACATACTTGTAATAGTACTCTTTATGTTGCCCTTGTTTATGTGGACGGTTACATTAAAGATGCATTACCCGTGCTATTTTCAAGTTTCACCTCGAAAAATATAAAATTTGTTTTTTCCATTGCTGTTTTCTGAGGAATAAAAAAGTTACTCACATTTGAATAAGACACCAAAAGAAAAAAAATCACAGACGTTTAGTAAAGCACATGGAAAGATTTCCATATACGAAGTTCACTAATTTTCCTCTGTATTGACTAACAAGCCCCCAGATAGCAATCTCATGTCATCAAAGTCAATTTGAGCAGTGAGAAAATACAAGCATTTTCTTAGAAAACACTTAAAATTTTTCAGTCCAATCTCATAGGGTTTGTACACAGGGTGTTGAGTGAACTTCGTATATGGAAATCTTTCCAAGCCCTTATTCAGAGGGTTGCAGACGCCCAAAATCGAAATAAATCTTTCTTTTTTTCATTAAAACAAAACATACTAAATTGTACATTTGATTGAAAACTCATTGGGTATGCAACTTTAAGAGTAAATCAAGGGCAGGATAGAATCCTCAGAATTTTTCCAATACAAGTATACATACATGTACATGTATATACCATTTTGATTGTGCTGTGTGATGTCTAGACTTAAGTAACATTTGAGGCTTTGCATGGTGGAGATACTAAATAATGAAAGGTTTGCGGAAACACCATGTGCGAATAATTTCTCAACTAAGAGAATGGTTCTGAAAAGAACCAGAGGTATAAACTCGACGTTCCGGTCAGTATGCTCTGACCGTCTTCAGGAGACGGTCAGAAGACGGTCAGAGCATACTCACCGGAACGTCGAGTTTATACCTCTGCAACCATTCTCTTAGTTGAGAAATTATTCGCACATGGTGTTTCCGCAAACCTTTCATTATTTATGTCTAGACTTGTTTATGAGACCCAAATTTGGTGCTTATTTAGTTATTATACAACGCCTGAATCAATCCCTGCTTCTGATTGGTGGGTCGTTGATCACATGTCGTGGAATTATTCATCCCAACCCACGACCCGGCTGCACCACAAAAACAGAACTTTCATTGCATGGTCACATGATTGGTGGCTCTGTCGAATCAGATGAAAAGGATTTATTCAGGTGTTGTATACAACAAATAATGAATGTTTCACATTCGTGCAATGGAAAGAATAATTTCATGGGCTGACAGATGGAATGTTCCAATTCACTCGGCTTGGCCTCGTGAAATGGAACATTCCATCTGTCACCTCACGAAGCTATTCTTACCATTGCACTCATCAAAACATTCATTATTTGTAAAAAGTAGGTTGTCTCAATTTCTAGATATCCGCATTCGCTGTTGTGTTGAATCAATGTCCGTCATGGTGTGTAAAGTGTGAAATTAGTAGAGCTATGCAATGATGAGATATTGTGTCCATGATTAGATATCAGCCGTGATTGTTGCAAATAAAATCAACTGATTAATAATATGTTGTCAATAATATCTCATTATATAAGCTTGGAGTAACTGGTATTAGTCATAATTGGTTAACTTGTATTTATCGTGTTAGGCCCCCAAAAAAATACATTCGGTCTCTGGTCAGACCAAAGTTCCGGAATTGACGTGGCCATGCGGCTTTTTTTTTTTTTCTTCAAGCTTGGATTGTACAGACAAGGTGGGGTACTATTTTGCTTTTTTGGTGTCGTCATGTACATTGGTGTCCTCCATAATTTGCCTTGGTGCTTTCGATCATTTGCCTTGGTGCAATTTCCCATTCCTTGGTGCTCTTTGGTAAAAAAAAATTGAGGAGGTGCGGAAATAGAGGGCGCTGTTGGAGCTACCGCGGAACATTTTGGAAAAAAAAAAGATCGACGCGCATGATTAATATCGACGCGCGCGCTGACCAGAGACCGACTTTCTTTTTTTTGGCCTTAGGATCAATTTTTTTTTTTGGGGGGGGGGGATTTTCTTGATTTTGAAACCAGTCGTTTTTAAGAATGTCTTCCAACTAGGTTTTGCCCTTTAGAATGCCTTCAAGAATGCTTTCCCTATATTCAATGATCGACTTACAAAAGAATGGGGCAGACTTGTACCGCCACACAGGGGGCGGGAGACGGGGTGTTGCCCCCCCCCCCCCCCCCCCCATTAAAAAGTGCTACTGCAAACTGCCGGTCCTGTGATAATCCCCACCCCTGAAGAAGAGTTGCCTTTTTTTTTCAGCTGTGCCAATTTGATTGAGCTGCTAAAAAAAGCAGAAAATACCGCTTAGCAAATTTGTGTTCTGAGCAGAAATTGTCCGAGTACCAGTCAACAACAATATGCCTGCCTTAACATTGGGCAGGTAAAATGTTTTTGCTAAGCAAATATCTTCTGTGCTTAGCAGAATTCTGTGCTTACAGCTCTATGAAATATTCTGGTCTTACCGTGTTCCCTTTGGTCAATATACTCACGACACTATCATCACCATGTCCCCGATTACCAGATATAAAGGAGATCTTTAGTTGCATGCAGTGTGAAGTTTTCCAGAGCATGTACTGTACGGCAGAAAATATCAATGAAACTCCTATATCAATGATCAGTTTTTCTATAAGGGGGGCGATGACTAGCCCGACTGCGTCTGGCCGTACAGTACTATCGCAAGCTCTGTAGTACGGCCAGACGCCCGATGCTTCCACAGAGACTGAATTTTGTTGGCCGCCGATGTAGCGATTTTGCGATTTTGCTACATCTTTCGACCGCGATTATCTTTTCATCCAGGACACAAATTTCCAAAGTTAAGGTTCGTAGTCGTAGAGCAACTCATACCTTTTCGAAAAAACGTTGTTTGGTCTCAATATTTTCATCTATCTGGCCACAAGACGAATTTCAGTCATCAGATTCCACAAATATCGTCCCCCATGCGATCCCCCATGCGATCCCCCATGCGATTTCAAAATGGCGGCCGCGCTGTAATGTATGCAATATGCAGGCGCGCCCGCACAAACTCATGAATATGCATAAACAGTCTGTGACGTATGACCTCGTGTTTTTGGACGTACGGCCCCGCCGCACGCACGTCCAAAAACACGAGGTCATACGTCACAGACTGTTTATGCATATTCATGAGTTTGCGCGGGCGCGCCTGCATATTGCATACATTACAGCGCGGCCGCCATTTTGAAATCGCATGGGGGATCGCATGGGGGACGATATTTGTGGAATCTGATGACTGAAATTTGTCTTGTGGCCAGATGGATGAAAATATTGAGACCAAACAACGTTTTTTCGAAAAGGTATGAGTTGCTCTACGACTACGAACCTTAACTTTGGAAATTTGTGTCCTGGATGAAAAGATAATCGCGGTCGAAAGATGTAGCAAAATCGCTACATCGGCGGCCAACAAAATTCAGTCTCTGTGGAAGCATCGGGCGTCTGGCCGTACTACAGAGCTTGCGATAGTACTGTACGGCCAGACGCAGTCGGGCTAGGCGATGACATCCGGGAGCTCCTTACATTGCCCTGATGTCTGGTTCCCAAACCTATTTACTTTAAACTCAATGGTTCTTGAATCTGGATTTCTGATTGGTAACTCATCGCAACCGGTGAAAACTGGCGTGCAAATGAATAGAAGATTTCATCGGCTCACTTATAAATCCCGCCAACCCGTTTTTCTATAGATGGTGTTGATGACTTTCTTCTGTGGAGATGACCACTCAGAGAAGTAAAAAATAAAATGTGATGGTGGAAATTACTAAAAGAATATCATCCGTCATATCATAGAGCAATTCCTTGCTCTACGGTCATATCAACTTCTCATCAATGCAGTCTCTTAAAACTGATTAACCGTCTTTGCCCAAAACAGCCACTGGGGCTGGATTGCTCCTAATGAAGCGCCGCCTTACCAGGCTCCAGGAAACCTCGGTCGGTTCCTCCTCGGATTATTTGTAAAGAAGAAACGAAGTCGGAATAAATGGTTAAGGATGAAAACATCAGAGGCCTTTCAATCATCAATAAAACGACTCGTCAATACTGCCCACTCAGAGCCCTATTCTGTTCCCACTACAATATTTGCATGCTGGAAACCGGGCCGGAAAGCCATTGAAAACTCTTGAGCTGGGGCTGGGAGAGCATTCACTGTACCTAAACTGGCTACTTCATTGGAAGCATTACTTTGTTCGTAAGTGTACGGGATATATTGAATGGTCATTCAACATTTTCAAGTCGAAATCTTAGGTGGGTGGTCGAAACAGTTTCGAAAAAAAAGGTCGAAATTGTTTAACATTGACTATTCTGAATCGCCCATAAAAGTTTTTCACATTCGTATAAGAGACATCGAACGAAAACAAATAAGCCAACGTTTAATATTGAATTATTTCGTCGCAAAAATATTTTTTGCACGCTGATGTGCACCAAATGAAATTCCTTTTTTTTTCAGAGGGACTCGGGGGCTGCAGACGCCCAAACTTAAATCAAAGTAGGTTTTTTTTTCGTTGAAAATTCGTTAGGAGAAGAAACTCAACTTTTTGAAGAGCACAGGCCCGGTGATATGCATCTTTAAACCTTATAAAACCTCAATAAACCTGAAACCTAAGCATAACTTGACGAAAATAGCAATGATGAACGACCTTTGATTCAATCTGGACCGCGCTCATCCTTAAAGTAAATAACACTAGCTGAGATAAACAGACACACAAAATGATAGCCTATGGCATGTAGGTGGATTCAAACATAGCTCCATGATCCAAGGACTGAGAGTACCGACTATACGGTTGAGTGCATCTTAAGCCGGAGAGCTAACGGTACTCTATTCTGATACTTGAGTGGTCTATTAATAGCCATCGGTCTTGCTGCATCTTCAAACATACACATTCGATTGCGGAAGTTTTAAAGACGCGAAAAATCATCACGGCATAACTCTTGACAGTTTGTGAGAAACGGGTGTTCAATTACTGAAGTTCGTCACGCTAATGATGATATGACCTCCACTATGTTGAGTAAACGGAGGCTCATTCTCGCTGTTGTAGTAGTGTTGCTTTTGTGCGCCGTGGGCGCTGGCGTTATATGTGCCATTGTGTTCACCGTGGGCCGGGATGACTCGACTCCCCCCAAATCCCCGCCTGCCATACGGACAGTGGTAGATGTGGAGGCTTCAACCGGGGAAATCTCCATCAAGAACCTCAATGGAGATACCGTGATGAGTGGCATCCTAGCTGCTAGCTCTCCTGCCAGTGTGAAAGGTCTTGAATGCTTCGCTGAAGGGAACGCACTCTGCTATCTCTGGAAAGAAACTGCAGAGGTCAACATCAACTTGGTTGCCACACAGGAAGTGAAAGACGAGCAGTTTTCGTGTACGCACGTGGTTTGGGAATCCTTGGTTGCCGACGTACCCCTACGAGACTGCTATTCCCTGGATGGGGCTCATTGGTACGGGAGTGCCGAGATGTTCTATCAGATGTGGCCGATTGAAAAATGGAATGAGACCACTACGATGTACGTATCTGGTGACATGTACGCAAACTGGCAGGATTACGGATCGGTTTTGGACAGGTATTGGTTATCGTCCCGAGGGGTTGCCATTCGTGTCAGCCATGACACCCCTCTGCATGTCAGTCTGAATGACAATGGTGACGGAAAGGTGTGCTTCCAAAGCACCTATGCTAACTCTTACTACCCCAACCTCGAAAACAACTTGCAGCGCTTGGACTACACCATCTGCACGCATGACGATGTGCGCCTCGTGCACGACGCCACTTGGCGCGAAATTGGCCCAGCTGGCGGGAAACCGACTGGTTTACCGGACGAAAGAATGATCAGGTCTCCTATCTGGTCCACGTGGGCACGATACAAAATCTTCATCAATGACAGCGTGGTGAACGATTATGCAGATGAGATCATTGCCAATGGGTTCACCAACAGCCAAATAGAAATCGACGATGGATACTCCATGAAGTACGGAGAACTTGACTTTGATCAGACGAAGTTCCCATATATGAATGACACCGTTCAGAAACTTCACGACAAGGGTTTTCGCGTGACTCTCTGGGTGACACCATTTGCTAACATTGACACCAACGCGTACCAAGAAGGTAAGGAGAAAGGCTACTGGGTGACTAAACGGGGGCAGAATGAGGGCGTGGTCAAGTGGTGGAATGGTTTAGCTGGAATGCTTGATGTTACCAACCCAGCCGCAGTGGATTGGTTCGTATCAAGACTCGAGAAGCTCCAACAGGATACTGGAATCGATTCCTTCAAATTCGACGCTGGAGAAACCAACTATTTAGTCCAGGATTTCGAGACCTATGTTCCCTTAGTCAATCCTTGCGAATATACTGCTCTTCATTCTGAGATGGCAGCGCGCCTTGGAGGCCAAATCGAGGTCCGGGCAGCCTTCGAGAATCAGGATCTTCCAATCTTTGTGAGGATGATGGATAAGGATTCCCGCTGGGGCTGGGATAACGGACTAAAGACACTTATCACCACAGCGCTGACATTCAGCTTGCTAGGCTATCCTTACGTTCTACCGGACATGATTGGTGGCAACTCTTACGAGTCGGAATTCCACGGCCTCGAAGTACCACCGCGGGAGCTCTTCATACGATGGCTGGAAATCACGGCCTTCATGCCGGCTATGCAGTTCTCCATCTCGCCCTGGCAGTACGATGACGAAGTGGTGACCATCTCCAAGAAGTGGGTCACCTTCCACGAGGATGTCATCACGCCTAAGCTGCTCCAGATCGCCCGGGCCGAGACCATCGTAAACCCCGGTCAGCCGTTGATCAGACCCCTATGGTGGATCGCACCGACCGACGAAGACTCCCTGAAGATGGACACAGAGTTCCTAGTTGGTGATGACCTATTAGTGGCGCCTATCGTCAATAACGCCACCTACTCCAGGGATGTCTACCTCCCTCCAGTGGATGGATTGTGGACACGCATGCCACAGGGAGATAGTGTGGAAGGCGGGCAGTGGCTTCGCAATGTACCCGTTCCACTTGATGAAGTGGCGTACTTTACTCGGACCAACGCCAAGTAAACATTAAAAACAATGAAAAAAGGCCATCTCCGAATTTCCCCGCAGGTTCGAAAATTATTATTAATTTTTTAAATGGGATGTTAAACGAAGACAACTGAATGAAAATTACCGTGGCCTACTATGCACATGTTATCGACGTTGAAGGATACCGACATTGAGATTTATAAAAAGGGATTGGCGATAGCCTCCCATGAGAAAAAGTAAATATAAACAGTAATCTTTCACACAAAATCAAACCTATATGTTGAAAATTCATTTCAGATGCTTCAAATGCCGATGGTGTACATTTCCTTTACCTCGAAACGGTGTAATCAATGAGTTCCCGAATGGGAGATAATTATGATATAATCATTTCTATAAGGAAGCAGAATATCTTATTGCCGAGGCCAATGGTTGCTGTTTATTGCTACGTGTACCTTTGTTATCAGATGCCAATAAAAAATGAATGGAAGTTTCTGTTTGCCATTTTCGTAGTTGTCCGAATAAAATTTGATGTCCCAGCCCCTTTAATGCATAATTTCCCTCTTATTAATATTGTTGCACAATAATAGTCTGCTCCGGGTTCATTATGTTATCACTGTTGATAGGCTAACCATAGTGGGGTGATATGCTCGGTGGTCTGATTAGAGATAACAAAAATCTAAGGTCCAAAGGGGGTAACTTCAAAACATTTTATTACATTACTTTTGTTTGCAATACGCTGGCGTACACATTGGTTATTAATGACAGCTATAGTTATGACACCATTTTATAACGCCGCTGTTCCCTTAATTAGCCGCTAAAGGTTATTTTTGTCGGCGACCTACAAGGCAGTATATCCGTGACCTTAATCTTATCTTAAAAGCAGGTAAGTCAAGAGAGACTGAGCGACGAGGTGAATATAGCCTATTTCAAGAAAAGGTTTACACAACATAACAGTGCATGTGTGCACAAAGGCATCGGTAATACATTTTGATAACGATCATTTCTTTAAACCTATTGAATTACGCCCCGTTATTAATATCACAAAGCAGACGTCATGGTCCACATGCAAAGCTAGACTTGAGGATAAGTCGCTAAACAGTCGTGTTTTGTCGGTCGGCACCCCCAATATCTACCTCACGGTAATCTGGGTTCGACATGGAGTCGATCCGTACACGCATAATACTGGGGTCGAGTATGCACAAATCGTCCCCGCCTGTAAGGCCAAGTATATATATAAAAAATTAAAAAACGCCATGTTTAGCGTCCTGCCTTTTTGAAAAAAAGGAAGGATGAGGAGGCCCTTTTTCCCTCCAAAATGGCCGCCGCCACCGGGCTATTTTTCAAGATGGCCGCCAGGTTGTTTTTTTAAATGGCCGCCACTGGGACTCAGGAAATGACATACCAGCTTATGGGCTTCATGCAATAGACAAAGCGGCTAATAATATGACGTCACTCTTTCAAATTCATTTTTCGGTTTAAAAAAAAAAAGGAGGCGGCCTCCAAAAAGGAAACGGGCTGGGACACAAACATGTTTTTTTTATTTGGTCTTAGTATGAAGCTATACCGCTGCCACAGTGACGTCGTGGGGGGGGGGGGGGATGCCCCTTTTCACCAGCCGTGCCCCCTTTTTGGCAAGGGTACTCATGAAAAAAGACACTATCTAAAAAAGGCCTTTTTTCACGAGTGACCCGTTTCTTAACGTTGACCGCGAAGTCGGCAAGTGTGCATGTGCCGCCATGAAAAGCGCATTACTGTCCGCAGCCGCCGTCACCTATTGTCCGATGATGTCCTGTAATACCCCCCCCCCCCCTTCCAATGTTACAGAGGCTGGGTGACGGTTAAAAAAACCTGTCTACCTTTCACCAGGAATGAGGCGAGTGCCCAGTCCCCCAATAAAAATAACCAAGCTACTCCACTGGCTAGGTGTCTGTCCGTCGCGGTGCGGTGCGCGGCAGACGAACAAAACCCGGCCAATTACCGACTTGATTTGAAGTCTAATGCATATCGAGAACAGACAGTCAGCAATGGATGGTTGAATGACTTACATATTGGTACGGCAAGGCTTGACTATCCGTACTTTGCCTGCTCGATACCAGGCATACAATATACTTCTGTGGTAATATGTAGTAATCTGTTTTGCAAATTATCTTTGACGTGAACACAGCACTACTGGATAAACAGTGCACGTTATTACAGGATGTAAAGACCACGATACGTTCAGTATTTTTTAAAGTGCCCGCATATGCAGTTTCAACTGAATACGTTATTTTAACTGAAAGCGGTATAGGCCTAACTGCTATAGGTGGACTAATCAACTTCATTGCCGAACACTGTCATCAGCATCGAGTACGGGTTCTGCTTCCAGAATGATTACAAAATGGCGCCTCATTATTCGGGCTGTGGCCGTGCTGTTAGTGTGTTTGATAGCTGCCCGTGTCTTTTCCGGCTCTCTGTTCACTTTAAACCTGAAGTCGATGAATTCCAGTCCTGACAGCTCCGCCTTCTCCTCACCTGCCATTGGGAAGCTAATTGGTGTGGAGGCTACGACCGGGAAAATCTCGATCCAAAACCACAAAGGAAACACGGTGTTGAGTGGCAGCCTAGCTGCTAGCTCGCCTGCCAGTGTGAAAGGCCTCGAATGCTCCGCCGAAGGGAACGCTCTCTGCTATACTTGGAAAGCGGGAATAGCTGAAGTCAAGATTGAACTGGTTGACACGAATGAAGCTAGGCCATTTACGTGTGCGCACGTGCAATGGGAGTCATTTGTTGCCGACACACCCCTACGAGACTGCTATTCACTCGATGGGGCTCACTGGTATGGTGCAGGTGAGCGGTACCGCCAGGTATGGCCAATAGAGAAAATGAGTGGATCAAGCACAATGTTTGCATCTGGAGACGTGTACACAAATTTGCAGAGGTATGGATCGGTTGTGGACAGGTACTGGTTATCGTCCCGAGGGGTTGCCATTCGTGTCAGCCATGACACCCCTCTGCATATCAGTCTGAATGACAATGGCGATGGGATGCTGTGCTTCAAGAGCACATATGACAATTCCTACTATCCGAACTTCACGAACAATTTGCATCTATTGGACTACACAGTTTGCACGCATGACGATGTGCGCCTCGTGCATGACGCCATTTGGCGCGAAATTGGCCCAGCTGGCGGGAAACCGACTGGTTTACCGGACGAAAGAATGATCAGGTCTCCTATCTGGTCAACCTGGGCACGATACAAAATCTTCATCAATGACAGTGTAGTGAACGATTATGCAGATGAGATCATAGCCCATGGGTTCACCAACAGCCAAATAGAAATCGACGATGGATACTCCATGAAGTACGGTGAACTTGACTTTGATCACACGAAGTTCTCGGACGTGAAAGGCACCGTTCGGAAACTTCACGACAAGGGATTTCGCGTGACTCTCTGGGTGATACCATTTGCTAACATTGACACCAACGCGTACCAAGAAGGTAAGGAGAAAGGCTACTGGGTGACTAAACGGGGGCAGAATGAGGGCGTGGTCAAGTGGTGGAATGGCCTGGGTGGTATGCTTGATGTGACCAATCCGACCGCAGTCGATTGGTTTGTAGCAAGACTCAAGAAGCTTCAACAAGATACAGGAATTGATTCCTTCAAATTTGACGCTGGAGAAACTAACTATTTAGTCGATGATTTCGAAACCTACGTTCCCTTTGTCAATCCTTGCGAGTATACGACCCTGTACGCTAAGATGGCAGCACGTTTTGGAGGTCAAATCGAGGTCAGGGCTGCCTTCGAAAACCAGAACCTACCAATCTTTATTAGGATGATGGATAAGGATTCCCGCTGGGGCTGGGATAACGGACTAAAGACACTTATCACCACAGCGCTAACGTTCGGTCTGATGGGTTATCCTTACATCCTACCGGACATGATTGGTGGCAACTCTTACGAGTCGGACTCAGAATTCCACGGCCTGGAAGTACCACCGCGGGAGCTCTTCATACGATGGCTGGAAATCACGGCCTTCATGCCGGCTATGCAGTTCTCCATCTCGCCCTGGCAGTACGATGACGAAGTGGTGACCATCTCCAAGAAGTGGGTCACCTTCCACGAGGATGTCATCACGCCTAAGCTGCTCCAGATCGCCCGGGAGGAGACCATCGTAAAGCCTGGTCAGCCGCTGATCAGACCCTTATGGTGGATCGCACCGACCGATGAAGACTCCCTGAAGATGGACACAGAGTTCCTAGTTGGTGATGACCTGTTGGTGGCGCCTATCGTCAATAACGCCACCTACTCCAGGGATGTCTACCTCCCTCCAGTGGATGGACTGTGGACACGCATGCCACAAGGCGATAGTGTGGAAGGCGGACAGTGGCTTCGCAATGTACCCGTTCCACTCGATGAAGTGGCGTACTTTATTTTGAACAAAGCCAATTCGCCGTAACGGTGCAAAACAAAACTGAAAACACACCGAGACATTTTAGACGTGCTAGGTGCGTGGTGTAGCACTACATTTTGTATATATGTATTTGCACTTGTATTAAAATTAAAGTTGGCGGTCGAAATGGGATGCCTTGGCTAGCTTTTCCCTCCAAATTAAAAAAAAACCCAGTCTCTCAAGAGGTCCATGCAATTATGTTTTCTTAGGAACATATTTTGTGCAACTTTCTCCTCTTTAAATGTATGGAAACTATTTGACAATCCTTTTTTGGTTTATTTTTATTGAAAAGTGCACTTCTTTACGTAAAAACTTTTCCTATTTCCATGCTTTTCCAGAGGACACTTCAGGGGTTTTCTGTTCAAATTGTGAACCAAAAATTTGCAACGAATCACTAAAGAAAAGAACACTTACAACAGCAAAATATCCAAAATTATGGCACCTTGTGGTGCTGAATAACTAAACATTGAGGTTTCTGCCTGAAATAACATCACACTGAGGCTCATGAATATGGAAATTCGCATTAGCATAGAAACAAAAATGCACAAAAAATACCTTTGGAAATGGCAAAACGAAACTCAAAATAAGGTTAAATGGGACACAAAGATGCAATTTTAAGGATTGCATTAAAAGCAAATTGAACAAGAAAAATGCTTTGACATCAGTGAAAGGGCAACTTTCCACTCTAGTCGCTTATTGGTAATTCCACTTGGTCCTTTTCAAGAATAATTTAGCAAATGAAATGTTCATTGTTATGCATTTAAATCTTCCAGGGCATGCCAACAAATTGCTATTATACGTAATTTACTATTTAGATAGTTGATCTGAAGGTAGGAAGGAATAGAAATTATGATTTGGCCGGCCTGTCATTTTAAAACATATAACTCCTCACCTCAGTACAGCTATTGGAGAATATCCTTTATCATGTCAGAAGTATGTCACCGTAGAACAGTTCGAGTTCGACTCAAATAACAACTGTGACACCAACCACTTTTTGTGTACGAGACAGTATTGTTTTATTGGTACTTAAGACAAAAGGCAATGGCAATACACAATATTCAGTCGGCCACTCTTAAATCCGAACACCCAGTAAAATTGGGTTATCTGTTAATACAAGATGTTATAGACTGCGACAGGTCCGAGTGACCGTTCCAGGACATTTGGATGTTGCTCGTCCTTTGGTTGCCAACTGCTTGCACGAACAGCATGTAAGCTATCGAATCTCAAAGAGTTTTTTTATTAATTTTTTTTTCTGGTGTGCGTCAATTCTTGTTGCCTTGTTGACAGTTTGGCTTCAATCCACAATGACATTCACACTATTTTTCCCCCACTGTCTACAATAGGAGATTAAAGAATAGATGCATGCAAGTCTTCCTAGTACTATTTTGTTTCTCACTTTTTGGATTCATTTACTTTTTTTTTTTTTTAGCCGCGTACAAATTCAGCACTACAAGTTTCCTCTGATGAAATACAACTCTCTGCAGCCAAACCAAAAACAAAGTTCTCTCATGCAACACTTTATAGTTGAAGAAAATTTTTACAGTTTGTCAGAAATTATACGATTAATTAATGCGTCCACTATGACTGAAGCTCTTGTTTCACAGTCGGATAATCACGACCGAACAAAACAAAAATCTCCAAGATTTAGCTCACAATTTACTGTAAATTTTGTTTCTTCTGAATTCTACGGACATTAACTGTACACTATTATTAATAGATAAAACTACACGACTTTCCACTTGGCGTTATTTATCTGCCTCTAATGCACAATCATACAATAAATGAAGTTTCAATAAAAAATAAATGAAAGTTAGATTACAATTATTACAATACTTTGGTAAAGTGGCGCGTGATTTTCAGATGAGAACAAAGCGAGGGTTTCGATTCATGATTTGCTGTATAATAAAGTTATGAACACGTCATCAGATTGTTACAAGCAGCCTACCAGAGCCAGCCGAGGGTTTAGCATCAACTAGCAATAAGTTGCTCCTTTACGGTCAAAAAGCACAACACACACTACAGAGCCATTAATTACATTCAATAACCTTTCTTTTGTTTCTGTTTAAATTACGCAGGAATGGGTAAGGCCCAATATCAAATGTTAAAGAATAAAACTGTGAGCAATATGCAGATAAGCTAATGAACCAATCAGAACTGGTGTTACATGTGCTACATGGAGCCTACACAATACCGCATGATACAGTGGCTCTGGTAGGCTAATGCCTGTCGAGTATGTGATACTCGATATGGGCAGATATGCTACTCAGTAGGTAGATATTACAAAGCGATCTACGTTATTAAAACACACGTTCTCGTAAATTCTCTCTAACTTTTCAAAACACATGGGTTGACTATGTCAAAACGAAGTCCCAAAAATTATGAAAACTGTTCAAGTCCAACTACTGTATAAACCGAAAGCGACGGATTTATGCTTTTGAAAATAACCAAAATCTAAAAAATAAAATAAAAAATACACCACTCCCCATAATGTACAAGATGAATGATTACAAGTATATTTTTTTGCAGGATAAAGACTCAATATTTGCAGAGAATATCTATTCGATAGAGCCTTCTGAGCAACGATCACGGTGATTGGTCAAAGGCTCAATGTAGCAGACTTCATAGCCAATCAGTATGTTTGACTCATTGCTTCTGATTGAGAAAAAAAGTCTCTCTAGAAAGAATGTACATGTATACTGCTCTTGAAAATGAACGTCTACGTTACATGTTTTCACGCATCATTGTCTCGCATAACTGGTGTTAATAACTATCACAATCAGGAAGAGATACGCTATTTAGGCGTTAATAATGATTACCAACATAACATAAAAAGAAACAGCTGTCATGAATCTAGGCAAAACACTTAGAAAAGAAACCTCTGTGATGATACATTTTTGTCATGTTTGGGAAAAAAAGGCAATTTACAGATTATGCTAATACATCAATACAAACCTTACAGATCTCAAGTTACATGATTCATTTAAGCATTGAATGACAATTATACCAGCAGTTATAAATATTTTAGTAGTCTTAATACATCAAGGGATTCAAGCATCTGTTCCAGACAAATTTGCACCTTTAAATTACGTTTATTTTATTATTACGGTTTTTTTTTTATTACTTTGATGATGCTTTCGCATTAAGCTTCAAAAACATAATTGTCTCATGAAGATATTTGTTGGGGGATTTGAGGTACTTCAATCATTGATAATTTAAGGGACACATGAATTTTTAAGCTATTTCAAAAAAAGCTAACAACTACTATTAAAAAATAATAATAAACATGATACAGCGGAGAAAAAACACACTTTGCAAGAAGAAAAAAAATTTTTATTCCTAATTCAGAAAAGGAAAATATTAATATATATGGACTTGGGAAATAGGCTGCCTTCTAGCCACTCCAGAATGCAACTTTAATCTTCATGTGCTTACTGCCTGTTACAGTTAGAAACAAACTAGTAACTTTGTCTTTTTATTTTGCTGCAAACTGTACAAAGTTTTTTTAACTCATGCAACCTCTAGCAAGGGTGACTAGTTTAGCTATGCCAGCCGTGTATAACAAGCCATTGACCCCTTAGCCAAAGGGTCAAAGTGGTGCATTCTGTCTGTGGTGAAGGCAAGCCTTGAGGGGGGGGGGGGGGCAAAGCTGAGGAGAGGAGGGGTTATGATGGTTGAGGGAGGTGTTTAGTACTCCACCAGTTCCTGCATGACCCTCTCGACTTCGTCCGTCATCCCCTTCAGACGTTCCTTCTCCTGAAGCAGCTCATCTGTTGGTTGAGAATGGGAGGAGGATGCCACAAGGAGCACAATGAGGAAGACGTTGCCATAGGGGATGAAGACAAAGCAGAGATGAGACGTTGCCACAATGGAGGATGCCACAGATAAGATGAGAGGGAGATGGAAGGTTGCCGTGGAGACAACATGGACAAGTCACATGGCAGGTTGGTAGAGGTATTCCAGACGCACAAAAAGGTTGCAAAGACAAGGGATAGTAAGAATACATCACAAGACGGTTGGATTGTAGGAGTTTGACACAGACAAGAACGATTCAAAGGAGATGGTTAATATGAAGGTGTGGATCACATGCAGGTGTAGGTCATCGTAGATCACATACAGCATGAGGTGTTAATGGGTAAAAGGTGCAACAGAGACACAGACATAGTCGGGAATGAAGAGAGAGAAAAAAAATAAAGAGAATGTGATAATTTAAGTTGCATAGGCACCAAAAACCTCAACACAAAAGATAACCATTAAACAAACAAAAACACGCAAAAAAAACTAATATACAGCCTAAACTATGCAACTTGGAATGAATCAATGTATTATGTATTATTATTATAAGTACAAAAATTAAATCTTAAAATTTCTGAATATCTTAATCTTTTTTTTTTTTTGGAAAACCTACGACCTATGTTCTGTTTACATTATAACTAGGGAAAAAGGCAGATACATACTTTACAAATCACTGAGCTACTGGTATGTCAACTAGCATCACCACAGATACTCACAAAAAAGTGCACGGTAAAAACAAAATCCACCACCACCAGTCTCATGACATTTTACACTTTGTGCAATTATCGGCCGCTTTGATGGACCGAGGTTGTTGACAGGCGGTGCAGAACATTGAAAGGCACCGTCTGAAAACAGCTTTCCATCGTAGCAGTTTCTGATCATGGCTTGAAACATTGAGAGAGCATGGAATATTTTATCTTCCCCCCCTCTCCAGATATTCCTGATTATTTTGTTAATATAACAAGTGTTGCTCAAGAATGTCGGCTTTTGCGTTCACTCAGATCTTCACTTTTAAGTCCTCAATGTGACGGTCAAAAGCATGTCAAGTTACCAATGATGAATTGCTTTGATGGCAAATTTCAGACTAAACATTCGATTCCCTGGTTTCCGTGAAGGCGTAAACCAGAAGGCGTAAACCAGAAAATGAAATAATGGAATTACTGTTTTCAACAACAAGGGACAGTTGAGGACGAGTAAATTACAGACGGAAGAAAACAAAATATCCCATATCCTCTCAAAGTCGTCTCAGCCATGACGAAAGGAACCTCGGAAAAACCGTGTATAATTACATTTCTAGCTGAAGGTTCAGAATGGGGTTATTAAGGCGTTAACATTAGAAGACAGACAAACACTTAAAAAAAAAAAGGATAAAGGTCTCGCAGCTGTAAGTCCCACTAGATCCGTATGCGGTTGCTCTTGGTGACGGTCCCCGTGATTGCCAGGATGGTAGAGAGAGGGGGGAGGCGTTTCCAGAAGACGGACAATGTCATCAGAAGTCTCCCAAGTCACTCAGAGCCTGGTCATGCTCTATTTGCATCCGCATGAGTTTCTCCTTGGTTGAGTTTAAGTCATCTGTATGGATGGAAGGGGATGGGAGCAGGGAGGGGGTTGGGGTGGGGGAGGGAAGGGGAAGACCACAGGCAGAATTCGGTGGGGGAGGATGAGGGGATGGAATTGAGATGGAGGGGAGATGGATTGAAAAGAATGAAAGAAAAAAAGCATGTTCAGTATCGCATGGTCAATACAACACAAAACTAGTAATACAGGATACATTGAGGACAAATCAAAAGTAGGACAAAAAGATGTAGGACACCCTTTTCAGCCTTCAAACTGGTGGAAATAGTAAATGCAAATTGATATCATTTTGTTTACGTAAACAAGAGCATCCGTAAAAGTAAAGCGCAATGGCATGGTTGACTATGTATTTTGAGTTGGCCGTGTGGTTCACGGCCGAAAGCAGAAAGAAGAAAAAAAACCAGGCGTTTTGAGGACTTGCAATCTGATTGTTGACCCTTGTTTGCATTTTTTAGTGTTGAACAATAACACTTTTAAAGTTTGGCCGTAGTTTGTGACTTGTATGAAGTTAGGCATATGTGGAAGCTTGTAGTGGGTGGTTTTAGTGGATTAAAGAGCGTGCAGGTTGGTGCAGCTAGACATTATTTTGCCCATGCATATGCATGAAATTTGGATTGGTTAAGTAACTTCTTTGTGCCAAGAAACGATATTATCGCACACTTCTTAAACAACAAATGTTTTAACTGAAGACTAAGCTGGTTGGTGTCAACTTTTTTTTTTTACGAAAGGAAGAGTGCTGGTAGTGCGGACACCAGACTGTTGGCCTTGCTTATGACTTTGATGTTGATGGCAATGCTTAGAGAGGTTGCACATTTTGATAAAGATGTGTGTTCTTAACATGTTTCTGATAAGTTCATTTATTTTTGGAGGTTTTTTTGGCAACTATTTGTTTGCTTAACTTTAACAATGGTATTTTTTTTAAGGATATCGTGCTGTGTTTGAATGGACACAACCGTTTCTCGGCACAAGTCTGACAAGGGCAGATCCAGGGGGGGGGCCAAAGGGGGCCATGGCCCCCCCCCCCAAAACGAAACCAATTTTTTTTTTCTTTTATGCAACATCGCAATAAAGGCAGGCAATGAGTACCACCATCTTTTCCTAAAAAAAAAACATTGGTTAAAGTGGTCAGAAATTGCCTCAGATCGCACCACAGAGCATCTAGAATCCAAAAAATTGTCGGGGCCCTTAAGCGGGCCCCGAACCCCAGCCCGTAATTTTTTGACCCACTTTTTTGGGGGACCAAAATTTTTTTGGGCCCCCTCCAAAATTGTGTTCTGGATCCGCCCTTGAAGTCTGACAACTCAAGCCCCAGGGGGCTGGGAGAGGGTTTTCGGTTGATGGCTAGCGACAAAGAGAAAACAGGGTCTACTATAAAAATAGGAAGGTTTTTCATCAAAGCTTTTTCAAACCAGTCAGGCAGTGGTGGCTGGGGGTGAGTAGTGAGTTGTTAATAAGTGAGGGTGCGGGAAGAAAACCACCAACAGGTAGGCAGTGCAAAGAGTTAACCAGGTGTTAATGCTGCAAAAAGCATTTGCCGTCTTCTTAAAAAAAATGAAATTAGTAGAACTCCTACCATAACGTGACAAAATATTTATAGCACAAATGTTCAACTCTCAAAACCGATGTACTGTCTATACTTGTTTATCAACTGATTCCAATAAATAGGAAGGAATAAAAAAAACTTATGAATTACCACGATACTAGACTCGAGTGTCTACTCTTGAAAAATATAGCCAGAATAATATCGAAATGTCCTAAAAAATTTACTTGCGATTTGTAACATTACAACCACACACCAACACGCAACACAGCACAGCACAACTTTGTACATGTATGTTAGTACACCATTAGTACATCAGCAAATGGGAGGACTGAAAGGAAACACTTTTTGGATTTAGTACTCCATGAAGATCTAAATAATACCTAGCAACTTAAGCTGATGCTTATTTTAAATTAATAAACCATTTCTCTGAGTAACACATTTCTACATTTGGTAAAAGTTGACACGTCTATTCCTGCCAACAAAAACCACAGGACATTTCTATGATTGTTCGAAGTTTAAGTTTCACATATCCTACATTACTGAAAAAAACTAAAATAGAAAAACGACTTTAAACCCATGACTCCAAACCCACCACCTCGGCTTTTGTTGCTCTTTTCTTGTGTTGTGATCTTGTCCCAAATGCCAAAAAAATTGAGACCCAAACCAAATTGAACTTTTATACACCTTCATGCACTCAAACACCTTGTGTAATATTTCTACACCCATGATTCAGTAGTGCTTTCAATAGGACTGTCCATATTTCGAATGATTTAGAACTTGATTATTCGTAACTGCATTTCACCACATATTTGAATACTTGAAACTCTCTGAACAAGTTTTACACACGCCAGCTGCAGCTGTTGCACGCAAATTGTTGTGGCCATTTACATTTGTAGGTAGCACCAGTGTGGACCTGGTAATCGAAATAGCCACAGACAATAAAGCGGCTTCTAGTTCGAGCAAATGTGACTGTCAAAGTGAGCAGTCCCACTCACTGTGACAACAACTAGTCCTAGCCTCGGTAGCTAGCCACTAAGGCCTGCGGCTAAGACGGTGGCAGCTAACTTAAACAGTTCCGGTAAACCCAGTGATCCACGTGCCGAGGTACATGACAGTATTTGCACATCACCAAGGGAAAAAAAGGCCAAGATATGAACAAAAAGCTTCATGAAACCAACTCAACGTTAGGATAGCAGTCACGTTAGTCAACATTACTCTGTTAATGAAGAAAACCATGTCGTTTTAGTTGACAGAAGTAGCTTGTTTTTTTTTATTAGCATTCATGGTACACTTTGGTCATATAGTTTATGAACAAAAGTGGATTCAGATGAAGGTTGACAGCCGTGAGAGATAGATGCCATGATACCACCACCCACCCGATCTGGCCCAAGATACTGCTTTAGCACACAACATGAAATGCAACTCTAAGCAGAAAGTGGTTTTGAGGGATATTGTGATGGTAACCAGTTAGGCCAAATGTGAATATGAATCTGGCTGGTGGTTAGCATGATTCTCTTCCCCAAGTACATTTTCTGCTTAGCGACTTTTGAAGACAAGGACCATGTCATATGCTTTGGAAATTTGTCTCAAGAGCAATTTTTATCAAGATGCTTAAAACAATGCTTTTATTTGCTAGTGTCCTTTGAAAATTGTACAATTTTTTTTTTACCCGAGAGCAATTTGGTTTAGTAAAAATTATACAAATTTAACATGGTTTGTTGGTAATTTGTTTTTTAAATTTTTTTTTTTTTTTTGGAGGTACTTGGGGAAGTAGGAGGATCTGCATTGTTTGTTTGTTTGTTTTTACTTTGCCTCATCAAAATCTGGCAAATTGTAACAAATTCAGCCTGCCAATGCAGTGGTGTGGTTTATTATTTCAATAAACCATACCACTGATGGAATATATTTTGCAAATGGATGGGAACCAGGTCAACAAGCATGCATTCTGTACAAGAGGCACCGGGAGCCAGTCATGGCAATTTGACCAATGATGCGTGGCTAGGTCATGAATATGCACGAGGTAATGTAATGGGGCACTAAATAATCTTCCAAAAAACAAAAAAAAAGAAGAAGATATTTTAAAACTACTTGATTTCAAGCTTGTTTTTGCTTTCAGGATTTTTGAAAGTTATGGCCTTGTGGTTATTTCCTGTAATAAACAAAATACGCTTTCACATTTTTAAGCAGCAGCAATTCACAGCAGTCAAGGAAAATGTTAGTAAACCAGCCTCACTGAGTGCCAAGGTCTAGAGATACACAATCTGTTTATGGAGGGCCACAACCTTCAAAATAACCTTTGGAATTTATTTAAAAAGCAAACTGGAAAATTTACTTTATCCTTTGGAAATCACAGGTACATTGGAATAGAAATGTGCCCACATTCCTTAAACAGATTATGATACGAAGTATTCCATGACAGAGACGACACTGCAAGAGGGGTCAATGTGCATACATTACATTACGCAGATATACTACAATTTTTTGAGGGTTACAATCAGATTGACACTAGCTGGAATAGGTCAAGCAAACTGACATTTCAAAAAAATAAGGAGTAGAAATATATGGGACCATCCACTGGGGGGAAATTTGGGATAATCTGGATCTTACTGATCCAGGACTGTTGTGGGTACATCTAAGGTTGGGAAACAACTGTAAGGCATGTCACCACCAGTTTGCAAAGCCACAAGGGTGCTACTTGTGAAAAAAAAAACAATCATGGAAACCTTGGCAAACAAATAAAGTTTGTTCCAAATAGCTAGTTAAAACACTAATCTCTAGGTCCCTTTGTATTATTTTCTGAAATTCTGTTCAGACGGTGCCTTGGACTGTACATTCATGATTGTGAAATCGTTTCACTTGTTCAACTGCATATTTTTTTTTGACTTTTCTTCAGAGTAGAAAGAAAGCATAAAACGAGAGTACCATAACTATCATGGTTCTCCAAAATAAATTTTGCATCAGTTTTTCTCTCTTTTTTTTCAGGCAGAAAAAAAAATCCCAGTTTGCACACAAAGTGCCTAAAAATTCTAATATCGTTCCATTACTAGGATTCTTTTTTATGGAACAAAGAGAAAACAATCTATGGCAGCATCTGAATTGATTGGCTGCGGCTAGCAGTATTACACACGTGTCTATGGGATGAGGCTTGAGCGGCTTCCATAGGTGCATGTATAACTGCAAGCCACAGCCAAGTCATTCGGGCGTGGCCCATTAGGGCACAAAGGGGCTCTGTTGCACAGATGGGCACACTCAGAGGCGAGCATCTAGTCTAAGAAAACAGCGAGAGAGAGTTTTCAGAGAGAGCGAGCGAGCAGGATGAGAGATTCTAATAAGGAGAACGCAAGGGGGATTCCAAGCAAGTAGCAGATCAGTGCAGAAGCGTAAGTTAAGAATTTGAAATTGGCCTACCAGTTCAAGGAGGCCAGATATACAAAATGTGTGGAGAAGCTTTAAAATTAAATTTGATTGTGGGGTCAAGTTCGTACGGCTCATTTCTTGACTTCACAAAAAATTAGAGTGGGAATTATTTTTCCACCACCCAAGTGACACTCCTAGCTTTAGAGCAGATAGATTTCATGTCTATTAGTTGAAGTACTATGAATCACACCTAAAGCACTTTGAATTGAAATTTTTAAAAAATGAACACCTTAAAAACAAAAAAGGTACTTAAATTTCCACACTTTTGCATGTCAACTAGATGTATCTTGTAAGTCATGAATCTACTTGATACGGTACATGTACTTCTTAAAGCAAAACACGTTTGTTAAAAGTACTTTAATGCTTCCAAATTATTCCCTCCATTTTATCCACAACTGAACTGATCTTCACTTGGCAACCGCACTGATGTCCTCATTTCGCTTGGAATCCAACACTACGTTTCAATATCTACGAAAGTATAACGTATTTCAATAAAAATTGGATGCAGACCGCTGGGGGGAAGTGGAAAAAGGCGAGAGGCTGGCCAGGTAGCTCATAGCAGGTTGAGTTCGGTGTTGACTTCGTCCAGCTCAGCTTGGAGTTTTGCCGACTTCAGGCGTTCTTTTTCCAACATGTCTGCGGAAATGTTTACATGCAAACTTGAGAAGAGTGTGGGTTTTGGGGTTTTTTTTGGTTAGAGGGACATTAAGATCGGACAGAGGTCTGGTTTAGTCATTTCGCAGTTGGCTTGGAATTCCTCGTGCACCATTTGGTTATTCCAAACGGTGGTTTTATTAGCTGTTCAACCCAAATTTAAGAAGTTTACGCCAATCTGATTTTGAAATTGATGGTGGCTGTTCTGGTAGCCCTTACTGGGACGCTTCCATGCCGGTGTGCCCATCGCATGTGTGTTTTTTAACACTCTGAACACGTCTCGAGTGCATTGAGTGAAATCCCTAAGCCAGAATTGGAGCTTCCCAGTAATGCTGGACAGCCAGCCCAGTAATTTTAAAAAGTTGGTCTATATAATGGCCAAGATGGCTCACAAGCTTTGATCAAAATTGATAATATTTTTTTCTTTTCTTTAATTGCAGAAAGGTTTTGATATTGTAAATAGTTTTGATTTCGTATCCAAAGAAATTATCATTTTTGGGTATTAGCCAGCTCCAGCAAAATGACTAACCCAGTCTTTTGTGATCTCAGAACAGGATTGGGGACTGATAATAACAAGGGCAATATTGTACATTTTGAAATTTTGTTCTTGTTTTTATAAACTACGACATTATCTCATCAAGATTTATACAATTTTACAGTTATAGCTGGGATAAAATTACTCAACCCTCTCTTCATCTTTAATAACAATGACTTTATTTAGTAAAAGACCACACAAGAAATTATTTTTGTTAATACTTAAATACGCTTCCCTGTAATACTAAAAATACACTGTGGATGTCTAGTTTGGTTTGTTAAATAAACTTATCAGAGCTGAACCACTGAGTTCAAAATTCTAAAACATATTAAGAAATTCCAATTTTTTTTCCCTCAAATTTCTTGAAACATTCTTATTTCTCGACTACTTTCGTGGCGAATGATTAATGACATTTTGCACAATAGTCTATAGATACAAACTAAAGCAACATTTGAATAAAGGCAATTAGTTTTCCAAGTTTCACTGATGAATGGTGCCAAGATTAGGGACAAACACTGTCCTAAAATGAAGTGCTTGATGTGACAGGTCCGAGTACTCAACATGACAGAGAGTTCAAATTTCCAATTTTAGCAAACCTGTTAACCCGTGATTATTTTTTACAGATTGAAATGGAACTTTCAATTTTTAAGCAAATGCCAGGAAGTTAGCAAGTGTATAACGAGTCTACAAATTCCACCTGCAAAAGCTAGTGATCAGTCGGAATAAGCATTAGCATTACGCTCTACAGAACTATTTTCTTTCTAGGTTGGTACGTTCTATGAACGTTACAATGATCATGGAGGAAACAGCAGTTTTTCTACAGCAATGGGAGATGAATGCTTACGGGGCTGACATTGAAAAAAAAATGAGTGATCGGTCGAGAAATAACTACAACGCATGGTCAAGATGCCTGTGAAGGGTGTACAGTGCGGATGTCATTGGAAATATGACTGAAGTTTCTGCCAATTCTTCCCAAATGTAAGGAAAAGGAATGGGGAATGTAATGCCATCCAACCGTACAAATTGGAACTAATACTTTCTGTATATCATAAATGTACATCTATGACCTTTTTGTACAAAACATTCCATTCTCTGACCACAATAACACACTGCGTCTTTGATATCGAGCAGGCCAGACATGTAAAGTCTTATCAGGTCTGTGTATGGGATTGAGGGCGGTATAACAGTGGTATTGGTTCTGAAGGAACTACACATCATTATTACACCTGCTCTTCTCGCCCATAAAAGATTTCTACATGTATAATAACTCGGTGGAGTCTTGACTTCAAAGGTAATTATCTTATGAATATTGCAGACAAGTACTTGAAATTAATTTGAAGATCAAGTATATTATAGTAAATTGGTCTTCCACACATGTTGAATGTGTGGATATTTCAAAACCGTTGATGCCAAGTTTCACCGATGTTGGAATGAAGACGGTAAAAGCTCATCACGTGGCAGATCTGCAACCGCGTGGCGTATTCCATAATTATTCACTGAACACAGATCAGGGTGTTCTGCACAGGGTACCAGTGGAACAACTACCCACTGCAAACATTATGCTGAGAGAGTTGGTAACCATACCTCCTTGGCGCAGTCTACGAATGGTCATATCATGCATGAGATTGAGGCCATTCCGCATAAGTAAAACTTCACTACACTGAATCTCTTTTCAAATTTAAGGCTCGACTAAAGAACAGTCAACTTTTTTTTTTTGGGAATGAAATTTGGGAAATATTAAAAAAGATCCATTCCTATCACTGCCTGCTCCCCGCGGAATTCCAAAAACAATCCTCACTCTCAAATCGGCATGCTTATTTAAAAACTTGGACAAAATAATCACACAAAAATGTGGAAATCCATCTTACCGACTGAACCTGTCGTGCGACCGAGCCCGAGCTTTGGTTTTTAACTTCGCCCCCTGAAATCTGCTGTTGGGACGTCTCTAGATACCAGCCGGGTTGCAGCAAGCTCTCATGTTGTATCGATTCATTTCAGTTTTACCCTTTGTCTTTTTTGTTAATGATTAATGAAAAAAACTCCACACCCATGCTTGCAGGCTCAGTTGGTAAACAAAATAATGCTTTCCAGGTTCTCATTACTAGACTCAAGTTAACCGAAGGAAGTCAAAAATGTTCAGACCTCGGACGAATGGCGGACATTAGCGATCTCCATGCCTCAGTGGTGACTCAATTGAATGAAATGCATGTATTAATACCGACAACGTGCAAGAATTATGTCATTATGTAATACTGAATCAGAAATGCCAAGACCTTTTTAAACTTCAAAGTTTTAGGGTTAAGAGACAAAATAGCAAAACATTTCCCTTAAGTTTTAATACTAGGGTGAAATTGTTCCCTCAGTTTTTGCGTAAGTCCATACGTCAGGTGATACGTGTATATTTACTACAAAATCTCAATCAAATGAACGTGATCAGGATGTTCATGTACCTCTAATGATTGTCCAATTTCTCCATTTCTAACTTGTTCTTTTGATGTCCTAATCTTTCTTAAGCCAATTACAATTGATTTTTTTTCTTAAAGTAACTGGATGGCATTTTGGATGATAACCCTTGAAAAGGTTTTCACGCTACAGATTAAAGGTGAAAATAATCTCAGTGTTTCTCTCTCAAACTGACCTCTACATACGTAAAGGATAGTTTAAATAATGATCTTGACAGATCTGCAGTAAAAAAAAATTGACACTTTCTTCGTCAAACTTTCACAAAAGGTTGGTTTCAAAAATAACATTTTTCCTTTTTCCAAAATCAAAGTTGGCTTTCGGTGTATAAAATCAAATTGGCTTTAGAACACACAAGGAACAGCTTAATTCTGATGGAAAAACTTGTATTCTTTGCTGCATACAGGCATCACTACAACTAGTGCGTCTCCTTGTCTGTGTGGTACATGTACACTGCACACAAGGGCCACTGATGACGAAACTCTTATCCCCAGTTGAACATTAACAACATCATGACTGCCATAATCTCTTCACTATCGCTGATGCACGTATTGTACATGACGATATTAAAGTCAAACCATGCCAAGAGCAGGATGCACGTTACTCATAAGATTCAGTGCCATACATAAATTAAAGCCAAAATTGAACACAGTGAAGGAGTTTTCTTCAAACAATATCAATCCTCCAGGTGCTTTGCTCAGAACTGTGACAAGTACATGTACAACTGTCTACCTTATAGAGGGGTTTTTGTTGCCTTTTTCCCATTCAATATTCGATTGTATCAGCAAATTACCATAAACCTCCGATGCTAATCATGCAGTTTTTGTCAAAACGAACTACGGTTAGTTGGTCCGCTAAACGGAAACACGTTATGTTTTTATGGATTCCGTTAGCTCTTTCCTGGGGGTAACAAACTTACAACACCAAACTACGTAACTGATGACAAAACATGACACAAGGTACTGATAACGGCAGACTGGGCGCCCGGTCCTCATACTGCACTACTACTGGACAGCACCACAACGATTTGACGACGGTCATCGATGATGTAAAACTTGTGGATTGATTTCTTTCAGACATACATGTATGAATGATCCATGAACATAATATCATTTCCTAAGTAAACAAAAAAAAGGTATCCTACATGTAACTACTTATTATGTGTGTGACAACCAGATGCATGGCTCTTTCGGCCGTTAACAACAATTAATCACTGAACTAATTCTGCACCGCAAATCCCATGCAAATCAACACAATGGGAGTTCTTTCCCATTACGCCACTACTTTTTTTCTTAAACTCGTTAATTTTTATGATCACACAATGGATTCAAGCATTTCTGCTTTATATTTATCAAACCACCATCCATGCCAAAATAATACAGAACAAGAATAAGGTGGGTTAATATAGGAACGTGTGAACAGAACTGTTAGGGATAGATAGGCAAGTAAGGTGTAAGGCACTAGTCCAAGATTCATGTGGATTTTTGCTTTTAGCTGAAAAAATAACATCGCTGTGGTTTGTTTTAAACACTGAATAAATGCCTGGATTTCAGTCTTTTGGAGATTATGATAAAATGGGCAGGGGAAAAAACAAATCAAGAATGCCACAGGATTTGGAGAGTTCTTTCATGGTTAAATTTAACCAGAAAGACCAAAACAAATAATTTGTAGCTTTTTATTATAAGCAGAAAATTTCATCATCGTTTTGTAGAAAAATCTTTTGCTAATTATTTTTTCAGTTTCAATCTAGATCAGGTTTTCAAAGACGATGCAAAAAAGATCAACTTTTAAAACAAATTCTATCGAATCACCAAGCAATACATGTGCTCGTTAATAGATGCTCCACTTGTGATTAAACAGTGCCGTTGGAAGATTTGCATCTGCATTTGAAAGTTTCTCTTTCTGTCGGCTATGATTTTGCTTTGTCTTGAGCTGTTTGGGAAAAACTACAGTCTTCGGATATTGTGCCGTGATTATCTTTTGGGGAAGGAAAAACAGAGGGAAGGGTGGGGGAGTGGTGGTTAGTACTGCAATGGAAGCCTAGTCAAAAGATAACATCTGAATGCTCAGGACTCTAGTAAAAGAGGCAACAACATGAAGTAACTCAATGAATGGTGATGTGAAAGCAAAGTAAATGATTCATTTTGCAAGATTGATGTTAAAAAAAGAGAGAGATGAAGATGAGTTGAGTGAAGCCCAAATGCTGCAGATGAAGCAATGAGAACGTGGAACAATTTCAGACACACAACCATAAAACAAACAGAAGAATTACTTAACAAATGGATTTTTTTCCGACAGTCTTTGAAGCAAATTCAGACATTTCATAACTGACAGCAACAAAAAAAACAAACAGAAAATACTACACACACAGACCATCCCTTTTTCCATTTAACAAGCTTTTTCCAAAGGATTTTTTTTTTCAGTTTTCATTTTAATTCCCAGTGCATTCCTTTCATTCCCAAAGGGTTAAACTCTTCTGGGCTGGATATTTATGAGTGCTTTTACAATCCCTGAACGGATTATACTCTTTATTAAATTAAGTCTTATGCAGAAGACTAGTACCTACAGCATATAAGTGGGATAAAATCTCTTCATGTACTTTCATGTTCATTGGTATGGTCTTTTTTTCAAATGAAAATCTCTAGTTATTATTGGCATGATTTGCTCCACTCTCATTAAAACTGGAGCATATTAGATTAATTCTAATCACATTTTATCTAACCAGGGAAGTTTTAAAGAGCTAAACCTCTGCGCCATTCCCGTAAATTGACACACAATTAACACTTTTTTCCTCCCACCCCCGTGTCCTCAATCATCTTTAAGGCTCCACACCATATTTGGTGATGCATATTTGTGACATCACCAATTCCTATTCCACAGTAATGTGGAGGGGGGAAAAAATATCTCCAGTGCTACTAGCCTGGTGGACATACTCCACAGGCTGGCCCGGCTGTGACTGCAGCCCGTATGGCCCATTGCAGGCATACCAAGGGGAAAATATCTGGCATTCTGACCACCAGATTATCATACACACGTCAGGAATGCCTGCCCATGATTCCTAGTAATACTCCTATCTTAAAGGGGCTATGTCATCATTCTGAGATTTTTTTAAAAGCAGCGTGACAACAAAAATGAGAAACTGGCATCATTCAGTCTACAACATAAAGACATTTAGCAACAGAACCAAGACAGAAATGCTGACAGTTGATTGAAAAGAGAAAACATAAACTACCAATACCCCCCCCCCCAAAAAAAAAAAACAACAACAAACAACAAACAATAGCAAGGAGATTGGGCATTAATCATGTTCACTCAGTTAGTTTGGTGAGATTAGTCAGTTTATGCAAAGAATGAATCATGTTTAAGCGATTGCTGTTTGGCGATTAATAAAAAACTAATCGAGAAAATTCAGCTGGAAGTTAAGAAACTGGTAAATTTGCCTGAGAAAGAAGAACATCGATAATAAAGGCAATCGAACAGATTGATATCAGTTGAATTGGGGGGTTAAGCATAGGAGCTGTGTAGAAAGAGGGAAAACAATTTTTGCAACAGAAATACAGAATTTTGAGGGAATTTGGAAGAGAAGGGAACATTAATTCATCAAAAAAATGAAACATTGAAGGTAAAAAAGAACACAATGTAAAATGTACCTTTTTGTGCAGTTTGATGTCGAACAATCCTAAACTATTCGACAGTATTAATCAGTGATCGTGTCCAACACCAATAGCAAGGACGTTCAAACTTAGTGACGTAGATATTGCGAGGAAAGACTAAATCCTCTACAACAAGATAAACTTAAATGCAAAATAAAAATCAAATTGGAAATTAACTGCATTGCGGTACATTTTATACTGTGCTAAGTAAAGAGTACTGCATGAGACATGGCTGGTGGTTTTTTTTTCTTTACTCTTGTGCACTATTTGCAAACATCTGTCAAAATCTGGACCCACACATAGGACAAACAAAAAGCTTTATCCAAAACCTCGCACTGAAAACCTACACCGTCATTGCATTTCTCAACACAGACATGTTGAGGAACGTCCAAGTTTTATTCGTTGCCACTAAATGGCTTGGTAATTAGATGACGGCTACTCTATAAATTTAGGGTCCAAAGTGTGACATTTATTCCTGTCCCTGTTACCTTGGTACTTTGACATTCAAGTATCATTAAGAATGACTTCAAAATTTTTTTTTTGTTATTTGTTGCATTAAGTAGTGCATCGGAATTATAAAAATAATAGGTGTCAATGTAACAGGGACAGGGGAAAAAGTGGACCCCAAATTTATAAGATGACCCATGAACAACTTGTACACAACTAGAAACAACTATGTGCGACAAAACGTAATTACACTTAACATTCTACTCAACAAAATGACAAATAATAAAGTAACATCACCTGGACACTTACAAACAAACCTACACTGTTACCTGAGCATTGCGGGTAAATTTTCCCACAATGCAAACCTTTGTCCTCCAAGTTCACGACGGGCAGGGCAAGTTCCACGCAACGCGTGCGAACCGCGCCCGTTCTACACCCTAGGCATGGTGGGTAACGAGTTTCAGTCACCCACGATGCACTCTGATAGCGAGTGCCACACTCACCTTCGGCGCTCTCCAGCTGGACTTGCAGAGTTTTGAATGACCGGTTGGTGAACTCCTCTTGGTTCGCCAACTGAAGTCAGAGAGAAACGGAGAAACGGAATAAAATTAGAAACACTTGATGCAAAATACAAATGAAGTGTAATTTTAAGCACTATGGATCCCATAGGCAAATAGGTGATGGGACAATTCCCCAAATGTTTGCCTTATCTGCCCCACTACCTGTGTTGTAAGCAGGTAGCCCAGCTCATCACACATCCATCACAAGTTCCGGTCACAACTTGATAAGCTTTTAATGGAAGGCTCCGATTACTTCTACTGTGATCTTCATGTAAAAAAAAAATCTGGACAGTCAGTTTAGGATCAAACGCTGGACAATGAGCTGAGGCCTAGTTTGAACACACCTCCACATTTCTCACAGCAGATTTTGAGTCTCGGAACGACCATCGGGTTGTTGGTCGATTTACCCGTGACATAGAGCTCAACTTCAATTTAAATATTGATGTACACAAAAAAAAATAGGGTACAGAATTCTGCATGAGGGCCATTTTATACTCAGCGAACGTGAATGCGAATTTATGACGTCACAACAAGTATTTGCGCTGAGAATTCGCAAAAGCTGAACACGTTTTAAGTCTGGAGAATTTCCCAGTGACTGTTTTGTGACGTTAAATTTCGCTTTGCATTCGCATGAAGTATGAACTGGCATTGAGATCGGCATGCTGGAGACATGTCGATCACTACAGGTCAGGTGACATGCCGACACTACAGGTCAGGTGGCATCATCGCCAAGGTGCATTGCAATTAGATTTCAGCCAATGTGCCATTCATTTTTTTTTCTTCTTTGCTTTTTAGGGGGTGGGGGGGAGTTGGGAGTTTGGTATGGTGGGTAGGGTCAATACTTACAGCCTCCTTCTCAGCGGTCAGTTCCTGTACTCTGACCAGCAATGCTTCCTCAGCCTCCGAAGCCTTCTCATATCGAGCCTCGGCCGACTTGTTGGCTGCCTGCAAGTTGCTGACCTGTTCTGTAAGTTCGTTGAGCTTGCTGTGGGAGAGACAAGGGACAGTATTCACAGATGACTGTTTGCGGAAGGATTCAAGACTACAACAGTGAACAATCTTAATTGGGTAAACAGTTTGTTGAAGTGAAAATGAAAATGTAAACAACACTCGTGCGACTTTTTGTTTTGTTTTTGCTCATATAAACTGCACAACTCATTTAAGGCCCTCATTTATCTCTCGCAATTAGACAGCAATTTTCATCATCCTGTTACGTGTCATGCCTATGTGAAAAAAAACCAAGATTTTCATGTGCCATATGCAAGTATCGTCAATTCAAAAAATAACTTTAATAATAATAATAATAATATGGTGCTTGTAAAGCGCTTTACATCTAAGGTGTCAAAGCGCTTTACAATTATTATCCCTGTTCATCAGAAATGAGACCTTTTTTTCTTGCAGCAGCTCAAGATCAGCGCAATTTGGTCTCTACCTTCACAGGTACCCATTTATACTCCTGGGTGCAGAGAGGCAATCGTAGTAAAGTGCCTTGCCCAAGAACACAAGCACCATGTTCCCCGTCAGGGTTTGAACCCATGTACCACGGCCCACGAGTCAAACACCGTAACCATTGGACCACAGTGCCCCACAAATTATTCCAAGGCCAAGAACATTCCTTTTTGGCTGGATTTTTAACGACGACTTTCCACAAAACCGAGCCGTCTTTCTTTAGCTTACCCCTCCAAGTCCTTGCAACGCTCATCTGAACGCTCCAAATCCTGCTCTGCAACAGTGAATTTTCTAAGGACCTTTGCAGGAAAACAAATTGTTACAGAGAAAATTGTCAGCACTGATACAAAATGGAAAGAAAATTTTTCCAACGATTCAAACACATAAAGGACCACAGAGAAAACATCAACTGCAGAATCCTCGCCACATGTACATGTAACTCGACACAAGCAAAGAAAATGGAACATTTTGGTGCTGGTCAATGGGGGACGTTTTGAGACGTTGGTGGCAGCAAACACACTGGTTTTAAATTGTTTACGTCATTATTAAGCTAAAGTGGGCATGCTCAATATGACGCGAACAATGGAAACAGGACCGGTGTGTTTTCGGCCACCAACGTCTCAAAAGTCTCCCATTAGAAAAATACAAAATATTCAATATTCAACTGAAAATTGTAGTAAATTCCCAGCACTTATTATAAACAGAAGTGTGTCACCACCAACAGTTCCTGGTCAAGCATCATCAAGTACATGTATAAATAAAGTAATATTCATACACAAGGCAAGCTGGACAAGTCACAACAACACAACGAGAAGAAATTAAATTCCTCCAACATTCAAACACAATGTCAAGGCATACAAAATTTACAACGTAATATTTGGCAACTGATAAAACCCGAACTACCAGACACTTGGGCTTATAGTATGGGCTCCGTGTGCCAACAAGAGAGGGCGTATTTGTACCACTTTTGAGAGCCCCGCGCACGGGACACACCGCGTGCGCGTACTGGTTCGCACGACTCATTTCATTGTGAATGTGCACAATGCCATCTTCGCGTGAGTGTCAGGCATCGTCTGCAAGCATTGGAGTGTCTCAGCCGATGGTCTCCTCCAACCCTCCCTTTCTTGCTGGCAAGAGAGTACTTGTGCACGGAGCCCAAATCTTTTTGTAATCTGCCTTCATTGGAACACTTTTACCTTGGCTAGTGGCTACAGACGGCCTTTATACAAGTGTCTATGGGAAGTGGCTTCCACCGCTCCCATAGGCACATGGGTAAGTAACTGCAAGCCGTAGCCGTAGCCAAGCAATTCGGACGCGGCCCAAGTTGCGTACAAAATGCTACGTCCCCCCGGTTCACACATGTAGAAGTTTCTGTCAATTTCACCACACATGCCCTACACTTGTACATGACCAACATTTTCAGCTATTTCCCTTTCCCAACTGCTACATTGTCACAATTTTTTGTGTGCAGCAGCTAAGCACAGAAATCTGCTAAGCTCAGAAACTATTTGCTCAGCAAAAACAGGTAACCAGCCAAACTGTCATGCAATGTACACTGCTTGTGACTGGTTCCCAGCTAATATCTGCTAAGCAATCATTCTCTGCTTAGCAGCTTCATGAAATTTGCACCCGGATTGCATCCACACTGAAAACACTCAAACCAAGATTTCTGGGTAGTCTGGACGGGGAAACCACAAATTTGCATTTGAATGATACCCTCACCAAAATATCAGCAGGATTCTGCTCAATTGCACATTACGTTACCTCATCGTACAAAAATTTATTGTGATCGGCAGACGACTTCTCCTTAATCAGCTCCTTCTCCATACGTGTAATCTTTTACACAGTCCGTATATGATTGCGATGGCAAGGGAGCAAAAAATAAACAACCCCCATGACGGGAGAAAACAAAACAAACACACAAGGTTAATTTGAAAGATGACAAGATGAATTCATCAATACCTCGTCGTATTTACGATCGGATTCTTCTGCCGCCTCTTTGTACGATCGCACTGTGCTCTCTAGTGAATTGATCTAGAAGGAGGGCAGGGGAGGAGGAGGAGGGGCGTGTCCGTTTCGCAGAGTGGCGGGAGGTCAACCAGGCAGCAGGTGTAGGCAACAGAGTCCCCAATTGACAGCGAAGAAAAAGTTGAAGACAGTGAACATCCAACAAGGCGAGGGATGGGGTGGGGTGGGGGTATGCAGGGCAGAGGAGGTAGAGAGTTCAAGGGGGGGGGGGGAGAAAGAAGTTGGGATTGAGAAAGCAAACACAAAAAGGATAAAATAAATAAGAGTAAAAGCAAACTAAAATCATTCCACGAACTTTCCACATTACTGTCAACATAAAGCACAAAAATTAGCACATGTACGGTACATCAGAAAATATGCATCAAAAGGAAATCACCACACATACCAAATCAAACAAAAGATCAAGTATTTTTGAAGAAGACACAAAGCTAACATTTGGAATCTTGCATTCAGCAGGCTAGCTTGAACGTCGAAAATATTTTTAGAAGATCATATCACACACATGTTATGCTTGAAATTTCATTTCCGTTCATAATCATTTTCTTTGGTTGGGAATTGGTTTGAACATACTTAGAACAACACCAGATAGGGGTTTATAGCAGTTAACCACCATATTACATGCTCATTATAATATAAAGAAATGTTCAAAATGCATTCAATTTGGGGGTGGCCCTAAGTGACTAGGTACATGTAAATAAAGGTTTAAAATTCAGAAATACGTAAAAGTTCCACGCATACACAGCTAACAGAACTGGGTGGGGCAAGCCCTTGCTTTTTACACCAACATGCATTACATGTACATGCAGAAGCCATCTTACAATGCATAGTTTACAGAAACTTGGAATCGCAGCTGGGATTTGAGAGAGCAACTCTGTTGCTTCTTATTTGGCAAATGAAACAGTCAATAATTGTTACTTCTCACTTCAAGAAATGATGAGGCCTCTTATTTTCTTCACATTTTAATTTTTCTTAATAGTTTTTTTTTGTTTTTTTTTTTAAAACTTTTTATTGGCTTTAGTTTTTGCATATTCATGTTAATGTACATTGTAAGAAAATAGCATCCAATACTAAAACGAAATACGATGTATGAGAATCAGTTGTGGATCAAGTGCAGGTTAGAAGAAAATTGTTCACAAATTTTATTTTGACGTCAATGTGAAAGGGAACAAACATTTTTGTAACTTCTTCACAGCTCTCTAATTGGTGACGAAATTAAAAACATTCCTAAAAAGTTCAGCGAAGTAAGTATAACTGGAATGTTCACCTTCGTCAGGTTCAAAAATGTCCAATGGTCTAAATTTTTAGACACTGGGCATGGAAGGCCCAATTCAAAAGTTTTTATGAAGACAATTTTTTTTGTAAAGAAATTTGGACAATTCAGCTCATGGGCAATTCCACGGTTACTCACGTTACATTTTTGATGTACTTTTGAGTTTCCTTGGGCTGTAATTACCTTACTGAATAGGTTTAATAACAGATAGAGTAGACCTAGACCTACCTAAGCACCAAAGATGACATCCAGAAAAATGTGTTATGTATGATAAACAAGACGCACAAATTGGTTACTCATGTTACGAAAATGTAACGTGAGTAACCGTGGAATTGCCCTCATGTGCTCACTGTCTAGTAACGATTTGGTACCAAGTTTGAAACAATTCTTCCTCGAAGTGGAAACTGAAATACGGTAATTTTGTGGTTTTGAAGCCTCTCCATATGCGTACAAACCTTGTCATCATCGGCAATGCTTCTGGTTTCCAGTGCCTTGGTTGCCCTAGTAGAAAGAGAAAGACAAAAAAAAATAATTCAAAACTTTTATTATACACAATGGGTTTGAACAGGCTTTTTAAACAATGTTTTGACCCTCCCTTTGTTTGATCAGTCACAGGCAGTCAAAATTATAATCCTGTTCCCCTGCCATGCCATAAGTTTTACACAGGCTGGTCGCCAACAGTCAGATGCTCAAATTCCATCAACAGACATGACAGACAAAAGCAGGCAACTGGTAGGCACAGCCAGCTTATCAATCTCCTGCAGTCAAAGCATAACCATATCAGGTTTTCATATCATTCACAGCCAGTCAATGTGCTTTATGAAGGCAAGAAGCACTCAACTGTTAAAAACAGTCGCTTGATTTATTTTGACAGCTGGGCTAGCCTTGTTGAAATTGCCAGCCAGAGAGGGAGGGTGTAAATTAAAATGTAATCATTTTAATACACTTTCATGAACACTCATCTGTTAACATTATTGTAAACATTATTATCTGTAAACAGTTATTGATTAGGCTCTGCTTCCGATTTGCATTTGAAAATAGGGTAGGTAGGTAGGGAAGTTTTGGGGGTTTTTTTTTGGGGGGGGGAATTTTGTGTGCGTACGATCATATGGAGGTGTCTGCGTGTAGTCAAGGGTAAAAGGTAGTAATTGATGATTTTCAGGTTTTTTTTCTCATTTTTCCCAAACAAATTAGGGTAGGGGCTGTCAAAATAGGGTAGGTAGAGCATAGGGAAAGGATGGGTAGGGTAACCGGAAGCAGAATTTTTTTTTTTTTTGCCTTATCTCTACATGCTACAGATATGCTCTCAACATATACCATTTATATTTTAGGTTTCAAATTCAATTTTTTCTCATGATTTTTCGTTTTCATTTTTTTTTTTCATGAAGTACAATTTATGCAAGCGTTGATGTAGAATTAATATGTAGGGCAAAGGAATCTACACTGCTCCAACAGGTGTTATTTACATAGCGCGTAAGTAATGCGAGAATTGGGATAATAATCATTATAATAAATTCATGGGCTGTGTCTGGCCAGGGGTCGCCATGACTACATTGCATGTGCAGTCTGTGACTAATGCAGCAATAATTATAGATTCACTTGGGTCGTTGCATGTACGCAAGCCAGACACACAAGAACATATGATCAATGGACAGGAATCACACACTGCTTGACAATTAGGGCATGGCATGCATGTGATGTGCTGAAAGGACCCATATGAACAAATTAGTCCTTGTGTACATGTACGGTACATGTATGCACATACATTTGTACTACACAACATTCTCAAGGTCCAGGAGATAATTTTACCAAAATGCTAAACATCAAATGATAAATTATTGAAGCTGTCTTCTTTGTGTACATGTAGACATACATAAATATGTGAAATGTATACGGTGTACATGTACAGATACATAAATAATGTATCACTTACATACATGTATATGATCATTGACAACCGACATGCAGATAAATGTACATGTAGGCCTACAGTGCACTCAACATGTACATGGTGCATGTATGGGTGTGATCATCGGTTTTCGTTTCATTTTGAATGTGAATATGTATATACATGTATGAATCATTGCATTCAGTGGACATGCATACATGTACATGCAGTTTATGTACATATTCAACTGTAGGAGTCTACTCTTCACTGTCTAATCAGTGTTTTTTTAAATGTCTAGATAAACTGTTTTTGAGTTTCATGGCCAAAGGCTGTGCGATATCGATTACATGAAGATACACCTTTACCAATGTCTACTGAATCCAACACACTCCAACAGACATGTAATGAGCTATGAGCAGTAAATAAAAGCCCATTCATACTCAAAAGGATCACAATGGATTAAGGTTAAATACTTTTACGGTACACCTTTAACCTTGTACCGTATCTACATTCTGATAAATTTCCAGAGGGATTCTACATTCTGAAAAAAACAAGTTATGTGCCCGGTACAATATTTGTCACAGTTTATGCTCAATCAGAAAATTTGTAACTGCCCTGAATCCTTCAAAATGCTCTTTGCCAAAGTGGAGGAATTTGGAGGATTGAGGTTACATGTACATGTACCGGTACATGGCAAAAGTGTGTTACTAATTTACTAATGTTACGAAGGATGCACTTTGTCAAGGTCTTGGGCGGGACCTTGAGTTGTTTTTGCTCAGCCATGCATAAATATAGGCCTGGATTATGCTTGAAATCCTCCGTACTGCTCCAGGATGTCACTTGCCAAGCCTCAAAATATTGACAGTCACTGCAGCAGGATTTTGCAGGATTCAGGCAGGTGGTCACCCTCCATGGACCATATTCAAGAAATAATGGAGGAATTTGCAGGATTGAGGCTATATGCTATTTTTCCATGAGGCCAATTGGAGGATTTTGCAGGATTGAGGTTACATCCTAGCAAAAAGGCCTAGGGAGTTAGGGTTAAGTTTGCAGTAGCACGGTCTGACATAAAATCGCTTTTGTGATTTTGCGTGTCTCAGTGGAAACTCTTCCCACTGGTTCGTTGGATACATGTGCGTGCAAAAACTCCTAAAAGAGATTTAACCCTCCTATGCAAACGTACATTCTGCACCACGTTGTCCTTTCAGTCAAAATCCATCAAGTGACTGTTTTCAACAGTTAAGAATTCCCAGCCTACATAAAGCAGGATTGACTGACTATGACTGTTCATGTAACTTGATACAGCTTTGCTTTGGCTGTGGGTGTACATGTACATGTATACATGTACATGTATGCAAGCCAGCTGTACCCACAACTTGCCTGCTTTGTCTGTTCATGGTCTGTTGACTGAATTTGACTAGTCGAAGTGCTTCCCTTCACATACATGTATGATCTGACTGCTGGTGACTAGCCTGTGTTAACAGTACGACAGGGGAAGTGGATGGAAATTTTGACTGTCTGTGACTGTTTAAATAGTAGAAGGGTTAATGTAATATTGTAGGCCTATAGTCAATATTATCACTGGATGTATTGGAGCAATTAAATTTTATGCCATGTTGATACTAGAACTTACAAATGCTCACACATGTATACATTATTTGGTCAAGGTGTCACGAATGACAGCATGGAAATATGAGGGTTGTTCTTGGACAACAACTAAAACATACGGTACCTCTATGCAAGAGTCTGTTTTACTATGTGCACTGTGCAGTGATGCTAAAGCCATTACAATTTTAAGAGGATCCAGAATGACCTTCACCTGAATAATGCAGGTGTCAATACAATGACACAAATCCAACCTCATTGTTGAAAATTGAAGGACAAGTACCTACAACACAGTCTCTGATTTCTTTTGTACAGATTTCATCACAAGGGCAAAATAATGAATGCCTCAGCATATAAAGCACTGATTGATATTTTTTTTTTTTTTTAAAGCAAGAATCACAATATCAGGTGATCTGCAAAGCCAAAGGAAACAGAAGTTGGGCTTCAAAGGAGGGGAGACTGATAACTGAATGACTTCATTATTGACTGATGATAATCAATTTAGTTTAAACATTTATACCTTTTGTCAAATGAAGACAAAATTCCCCCCAAAAAACCAAAATGTTCGGAGCACAGACAGTCCTTGGAAAAGATAAATTTCAATAGTGAGTCCAGACAGTATGGTCCAGACTCCACAAAACCACAAGCCATGCGGTCAGACATGAACATGAATACGTACATGTACATGTCCTTTGTATGATAAACGGATGCAATTTTTGTTCATGTTGGTCTAAATTATGGCCGTGCCTGAATCACTTGACTATGGCTAGAAACTACACATGCAACTAAGGAAGTGGCTGAAACCACTTCCCATCAATGTGTGTGTTACCGCCAGCCGTAGCCTTGTAATTCGGACGTGCGGCTACAATAAGGGTGGCTACAATTCGCCTCACCAGTTCCACACACTTCCTGCCATTCTACACTCTATTTTGGTTTATCTTTACCGGATAACATCGGATATCCTTAAATGCAACTAATACGTAATCCACCTAGTGGTGGGATTCAGGACATCCTATCTTAGCTTGTGGTCTTCATTTTTATCGCCGGAAATTTCCAGCTTTTTGTGTTTTCAACAGTAAATAGGCGATCCACACTACTGGCAAAATGCAAGGTGTCTGAAATGAGTTCACGCCTTCAGTAAATGACCACAGCTGTGTCCTACAAATTTCCCCCAATACTGTATTTGCATGATTTGCATTTCCCTTTTGTCTTTTTTACAACCTGATCCATTCCTACACGTAGTATACATGGAAATCTTGCTGACACAGGTATTTTATTCACATTGATGTTATACTCCGATGATCTACATGTAATTAATTAATTCTGCAAGGACCCAGCCAAATTTAACAATGTGTACAGCCGTCCACTGTTTCTATCAACTAGATGCAAATCCAACAGAACATTTTGGCTGTTGGATCTCGCTTGGTTTAGGAAGCGTAGGGTTGAATCAAAATGATTGACAATAAGCTCTTCGTATGAGCAAATACAAATGTTTACTTTTTCACGGTAACTGCAGTATATTGAGACTTTTTGGCCCAAACATCTGTCCTGAATTTTATTACACTTGAGCAGTATCACAAACCTATGAACTCTAGACAGAGCCACGTACCGGTACTTTGCATGACATGAAAAACCCTAGCTGCATAAACAGTGCCACTGCTACTTACCTGAACAAAGCAATAAATCAAATCAGTATATAAAAACATAAAACCATAAAACAGTAGACTGGCCAAGTCAAGCGTAATGCCTGTACACACAAAACAACAGACAAAGCCAACCACAAAAATCACCCACAGGGCACAAAACAAGTCAGACTGAGCTAATAATAATTCCTGGAAATACTTGCAACCATGTACATGTAGCTATGATTTTTGTGACCTTGTGCTTTCAATATTGAGGATAATAAAACCATATATTTAGTTTTTGTCAAACCATCTGTCTCCTTGTCCAATTAACAATAGTCAACTCTTTACTTTTTTTTAAAATCCAGCCCTTTGGTTGATTACTAAATTAGGCTGTTCATTTACTAAAGTCAGACTTAAAGCTATAGTCCATCATTTGCAGCCATCCGAAAAGTAACTGGCGTAATTATTGTTGAAAAACAAACTTGGTTGAAAGATAGTGAGGGAACTAAACTCCCTGTGAAATTATTCTTTCTGGGAAGCTGTCATTTTGAAGTAATCAACGAAACAAGGCATTTCCAACGGTGATTCTTAAGAAGCACCGTAGGAAAATTTAAATTAGTAGTTCGTTTGTTATTCAGCGCAGCGCGCACAAGTATTGGAACGACGCACACGCACGCGCGGTTGTTATAATTCGTCGGATCAGTGCGAATACAAAACATGATTCAGTAACTTTTGATTTGAAATTGAGATCTTAGAATGCTGTTTTTCATGGAATGTACAGCTGAAACTTAGCTGAAACTTCATCAGGTTAGTTGTTCAGAATCCTTCATTAGATTTTGAACTCTTTTGTTGCTTCAAACGAACAAAATGCACAAATTACAAATGATAGACTATAGCTTTAAAGAACATTCACTGAATATACTTTGCATTTCAAAGGCCAGTCCGCTGGTCATCAAATGTACACGTATGCAAATCACTGCCTTCGGACTGAAATTCCTCGACCATTTTGTTGACGCATTTTTCTAGGCGATCCCTGTGCCTGACTGCACACAATCCAAAAGACAGGACGGTGTACATGTATAATGCAAACTGGCCTGCAGGCTAGCGGGGACACGCAAGGGGTATGCCTGCAGAGAAGATGGGCACATAGCTAAATACAGTTTAACCCTGACATTTACCAACGTACTGTAAATTAAAGGCCGCATGAAAAATAGTTCAATTTGTAAAATAATTTGTTGTACAATGTTGGCAGCTCAGGTTTTATCGGGCTTTCTATTTGGAGGGGGGGGGGTAAATGAGATCCTGAGATATCCTAGTATGACTGTACTGACACAAAAGGCAAGAAAGTTGTAGTCCTTAACATTTTCTGATAATCTGATTTTCTGATGTAAAAAAAATATGATATCATCAATTAGGGCAAGCAAATCCCAAGGCATGACTCCAATTATATCTTGTTGAATCTTTACTTGCTACAGCAACGTTTCTTGTGAGTCCTCATAAAATATGTACCAAGGTCAAGTTACAATTGCAAAGTAAATGGATGAAAAAAAAAACCCAGGTCAAAGTCTGGTCTGCCGATGTTAATTTAACCCTATGAAGTGCGTGACAGGAAACTCTACAGAATCCAATCTCTCTGACCCCTGTCTGCAAGATAAAATCTTAACTGTTTGATTCCATGCTGAACCACATTGGGGTGTTCTAAATGCAGAGTGTGTACATGTACATATGTAAATCATTGATGTACTATACTAGTGCGGTATGCAGTTGCAGTGCCTGTCTGATCATAAAAATGGTGACTGAAGTCTGAATCAACCAGACAATGAAATGGGATCATAGTTTCCTTTCCTGAACAAAGTAGCTGTTCATGTTTGCAAAGGGGTCATCTGAACCCTTTACTTTGACCCTGGCGAGGAGCTCTCTATGTTGCATAGGTATTCAATCCTGCAAAATCCAGTACACACAAGAATGGGGCGGGGTGCTTGAATGGCTTGGGGAACGCAAACAACCAGACAATGTATGCTGTGTGCTACATGAGCATATGTACAAAATGTACATGTACATTGTACGTACTGTATGCTGGGTTCTATGTGTGATTCTGGCTTAGGCTAGCTGAGGGGTGTATCATTCAATGAACATGAACACTGTGAGCACTGAATTCAATCAATACTCGCATCAGCTATGCACAGTGTGTGGATTTACATGTGCAAAGTACACTGCAGTGTGTATCATTATCAAATACTCCAGAGTTAAGTTCATTTCACCCAATAGTTGAAATGTTACTACAGTAAATATTGCATTCGTTTTTTTGTTATTCATAGCTAAACTGGGATACAGACTATTCATTCTCTTCAACAAATTGAATTTCATTTTATCCTCACAATGTTTAAACTTGTTTTATATCCCCCCCCCCCCCCCAATTTTCCCCCTATTTTGGGGCATCTGTAACACCCTGCTAAACGCTTTGAATTTTGGGTTGTTTTGGCACAAAAACATATCCGCCCTGTGAGTTGACTGTTCGATTCAAATTTCAAAACTGAATAACTTTTGTGTCGCTACAAAAATAGCTCCTTAACCTAACCCCTAAGAGTTCATTTGGGTAAAGAGTACTACAATAATTATGTATGTAGGTACCAAATACCAAAAAATACCATGAGTGCTGTGCCCACATAGGCCTATGTGCGGAAGTACTGCATAGTTTACTACTTTTAGTTCCAGTATTTTGTAGCTTCAGGTGAGGTTAGGATTTTAAAAAATTGAGAGGAAAATGCCATGAAATGGCCAGTGCATGATGTACTTCTTTAAGATAGTAGGAAAATTGGAGGAGTTGGCACAGCACAATTTCTTTGTAAGTTTAATGTTTCTTGTATTCCTTGCTTTTTCTGCCACTTCTTCAGACAAAGTTTTGACGACAGGGATGGTGTTTCATTCAATCCAAAAAAGCTGTAAAAAGCATTGTGTTTTCCCTGTCAGGCAAATAACCTCATCTGGACCACCCAACCGTGCAGACCAATTCATAAAGGGGTGGCAGCAGAATCCACCCCTTTGTGCAGCTGAGAGGGCCCAGTCAGGCACATTTGGGTAAATGGTGATCACCTGGGTTGTTCTGTAAAAAAAGAACTGGGGTTTGTATTCAAAGAGTCAACACAAAAGGCTGGAATTCTGCTTGTGCCACATTCCTTTTGGGTTACACTTACACCGCACACGGCTGACGTACATGGATACAAGGGGGATTACGCTGCATAACAGGATACATGGTTATAATTTGCCCTTGACATAGAGCTGGATAAGGGAATTCTTGAAATATTTTCGAAGGGTAGTAAAACAGTGCCGCAAGGCGAAGGAAACCTGAGATCTCTTGTTTGGATTATTCAAATTGACGTGATCAGTTCTCCATGATCATGTATTGGAAACCGGGATTCGTGTCAATTTTGGCAAATTATTCTGGAACACAGGTGTGGAAAAATGTGTTGGGTGTTAAAGTTTTGAATGGGCATTTACAAATGTATCCTTCAAGTGTTATTTTCTTGAGAGGACATATGTACACGAATAAGTCAAGATTTTTTCCCAAAATGTCCTGTTCATGTAGTCAAGGAAAAGACTACTGAACCCTGACTTACTTTTCACAAACCAAACAAAACAAAACAAAACAAAACGGGCTCAATTTACAATGAGCAAGTATACTTTCCATTTTGGGTACATGGCTCAATGAATGAAATGAGTATCAAAGCCTCATATATTCACCACAAAATTTACAATAACTGAAATTTATTTATATATTACAAAAACATGCATGCAATATTAACAAATCGACCATGTAAAAATTAAATTAGTTGCACACAATGTGCATAATGTACAGTCATTGTACATCTATGATCTACATGTACATGTGTAATTTTTTATTTCCACAGAACTTAGTAAGCCCATGCTCGTGAAGTGTGTACGTGTACTGTATGTTCTATTTTTTGTTCAATGTCTCCATGGGAGCTGGCACTAACCAATACTTCAAGATGATGACCTCAAGGGGTAAGGTCACATGAGGTCGAGGCAGGGTCATTTAGATACCAAGGAGATCAATTATCAGTCTAGCCCCAGGAAAGGCACACCATAGGGTACATGATGTGGCCAAAGACTTTCGGTGGTTCAGTGTTGTCTCAGTATGTGACAGTAAGACAATGAGAAAATTGTATGCATAATGTTTTCAATGTGCGAAATTTTGGCTTTACAATTCGAAGAGAAAAACCTTAACCTGAAGAGTGTGTTCCTAAAGTGACATCACTTGTCAGGAAAAGCATGAAATATTGTAAAGGATTTTAAAAAGTGCACTTTGCAAAACGTTTTACTTGTCTTAGTATCTTTCCACCATGCAAACCTTCAAATCTCATCAAAAAGGGATGTCTTGATACATTGCGGAGAAATGGATAATTGCTTCAAATATACTCAAGTGTAAAATTCATGTCATGAACCCTTAAAGCAGTGAAATGAACAAGTACATGCATATTCCTTCTAAGAAAAACAAACATGCAACAAAAACCCAACCCCTTTCTCCAGAATGTTCTGTGAAGCTCGGTACAAATACAAGTTTCAGTGTGGTTGTGGGCCGCGCCTACTCATGGAATGTTTTTCCTTCAGTTCAGGGGCAGACTCAAGCTGAGTGGTAACCTTACCTATAACTAACTCTGACAATTGAATACATGTACTTTAAATGTGCACACCTTCAGTATTAGCTAAAATTACAATGCACTCTGTACATGTTTGACTTACAATGTTTTTTGGTGTGTTGTGCTGATGTAAAAATTTTAAACATAGATTTTAAATATTCTTTATTGCCCTACTCTGCCGCAGTGTAATATCAAGCACTGTTTGCTTAAAAAGCTTTCTTAGAACATGTGAGAATTTTTTTTAAAGCATTTTCAGATTTGACTTGAACCCACAACCACCTGTTTATTAGTGCAGATATTTCATGACTTCTTATATCATTTGACATCCTCCAAAATCCCTCTTTGCAAAATGGAGGACTTTGGAGGATTGAGGCTATATGGCAAAAATATGTGGCTGATTTTGGAGAATGCACTGTGTCAAGGTCTTGGGCCGGACCTTGTGTTGTTTATGCTCAGCCGTGCATTTAGGCCTACATTATGCTCGAAATCCTCCGCACTGCTCCGGGATGTCACTGGCTCTGCCTCGACATATTGGCAGTGATTGCCGGAGGATTTTGCAGAATTGAGGCAGTGGTCACCCCTCCAACGATCACATTCAAGAAATAACGGAGGATTTTGCTGGCAAATACAGACATCCCGTTACCTTATGTGTAGTTCAGCTTGTTCTTCTACTTGCGTTAGTTTTGCGGAAAGCACATCTTTCTGTTCTGTGACTCTTGTGAGGTCGTCATCCTGAAGCTGTGCCTTTCGGGCCAAGTCGTCCTTCTCTGCTTCAGCCTGCAAAAAAAATAAATAATCAACAAATTCAGACAATCTTAAAAAATAGTCACCTGCCATTTTTTTTTAAATCAAGTTAACCCCAAATTCATTACTTATGACCTCTTTACGACTTTAAACACAAGTAATTGACAAAGATGCATTTTAGTATAAAAAATCCTCTTGTTTCTCAAACACTATTCATCCTCAATCCTCCAAAACTGCCATGAGGATTTTGGAGGATTGAGGTGGGTTAGGATTAACCCTAACCTTCCCAAATCCCCTAAAACCCTCTTTGTAAAATGGAGGATTTTGCAGGATTGAGGCTATATGGCAAAAAATGTGTGGCTGATTTTGGAGAATGCTCTGTGTCAAGGTCTTGGGCTGGACCTTGTGTTGTTTATGCTCAGCTGTACATAAATATAGGTCTACCTTATACTTGAAATCCTCCACACTTCTCCAGGATATCATTAGCTCTGCCCCAACATATTGGCAGTGATTACTGGAGGATTTTGTAGGATTAAGGTAGTGATCACCCCTCCGAGGACCACATTCAAGAAATAACGGAGCATTTTGCAGGATTGATGCTGTATGCAATTTTTTCATGGAGGCAGTTGAAGGGTTTCGCGGGATTGAGGTTGCATCCTCGCAAAAATGCCAAGGGAGTTAGGGTTAAAATTCAATTGACCTATCACGGTAGAATCGCGTCAGCCTCGCGCCAATGCAGCTGGTGAAATATTGTCCAATTACATGATATACAAATGGACGCGGAACGCGCAAAATCTGAGACAAAACTTAGTGTACAAAAACTCCATAGGGTTGTCTAAGGGGCGTGGCTAACTTGCAAACGGCGATAGGTCAATACACCTGGGTGTTTTGGCATTGACTGACAATGATTTCAAACCTTTATGGGGCACACACAGAGTCTCTTTAAATTGCCCCAAGCATAGCCCAATTGAATATGAAATTATGCATGTATTACTAGTGCAGATGGCCTTGGTATTCCTGAATCACATTACCTACATGTACACTGTACATGTATACTTGGTCAAGTGTGTTGAGCTTGTGATTGGTTGTGTGCATGGAAAGCTGCTCTGTACAGACATTGTACACATGTACATGTACATCTGCCTCTTTCAGCACAAAGCGTGTCCGACTGCTTCCAACACAAGCAACCAAAGCACAGAACAGTATTCCACGTGTTACCAAAATTATGGAAGAATTCCGGTCCGGTCAATTTCGGGTCAGGTTTGCACAACATTAAAGGGAATATACAACATTTGCAAACATCGAAAAATAAAACTACCAAGTTTTTACAAAATACCTTACTAGGATGTTGGTAAATGACAGTCTAAAGCATCCTGTTAAATTATGGCACCAGGTGTGAAATCATTTTCAAGAAAATTGTATTTTTGTATACATTTCCAACGGTGGTCGGCCGACCACCGTTGGAAAAACCTAACTATTTTTCAACTACTGCTCCAAATTTACCATTTTTTCAGTCTAAATTGTGTTTGCTATTTGTTACATGTTCATTAACGGGTGCAGAGCAGCTAGACTGGTTCCCTTACCTTACAATTTTCTGGCATCTATAAATTGATCCATTTTATCTTTAGTGGAGTCAGGGAACCAGACTACTTGAACATTTTTGTTTGTCTTGGTTTTTCCAGCATTTTCGAACACAAAATTTCAAACATATCAGTGTAACAATATTTGATCTATTATAGGCCTACTAACCCCTCAAATAGTTCATTTCTGAAAATTACAGCAAAAGCCAATGATGTACATTCCCTTTAAGTACATGTACACGTATGTACAATGTATTACAAAACTTGAGAAAGCATGTTTTCCAAATTACCAATGTCCTGGTCTCTGTTTTTATTCAGGCAGAAGAAAAGTACAAGTGTAAACTTCAGGCATGTAGAGTGTTAACTTCCTTATCAACTAAATACCTGGTTAGTTAATGGTAATCTGTAATGATGACAGGCACAGATTAGTTGAAGTACCTAGTATGTGTCATACATGTACAAAGGTGTCAAGTCCAACTGAAGTAAATGGCCAAGGAATGTACACACTCAGGCGCATAGCACTTGGCCAAGGCAAAAACACTACAGACCCTTCAAGGACAGATCGGAAGTATGCAGTGAAGACATACGCTGATGAATGGGTTTTTGTGCAGCGTATATTACTATACCTTATACATATTCATGATCGAGAGCCGAACTCTCACTGGTCAATTCACCATCACGTGCCAGATTCACGAGGATTCACGCACAGGGTAATACGCATGCGTAGTAGACTGTCGCACGGGTTACCCGTGCGACAGTCTACTACGCATGCGCTTTACTGAGCAATCGAGGAACTGTCGCCCTGGTGCAGTACGCACGCGCGAACATCGCCCAAGAGAGCTATGAATGGTTGCATGGTTCGGGTAAATGTTAATTTCCAGAGCTCAATGATGCCGCACTGGAGAAAATGTGTGGACCGTGTAAAGATGTCTCCTGTACAAAAGAAAGTTGTACACAAACAACTGTATTTACAACTGTAGTTATTATATTGCAAACGAACCAAACTACATGTATGTAATTGAAATTGAGCAACAATCTTCTTTTGGTGAGCTGTACAAGTTTCCCCGAATTTTGTTTTAGGTGCATATATATATAAAAAAAATTCGGCAACTGAATATGTATGAAGTATAGTAAAACAAATATAACATGGTTTATTTCGGGTGGACAGCCGATATTAGCTCCCCTCGGTATTGGAAGTTGACAAACTAGTACCCTCGGCTTCGCCTCGGGAACTAGTTGGTCATTTTTCAATACCACGGGGAGCGAATATCGACTGTCCACCCTCAAACCATGTTATATTTGTATACTGTCCCACAATGCAGTGCAACATAAAGACGATTCCGGGCATGTGATCACCGCACATCCATGAGCCCCCCGTCAATTGGAAAAGCATTGCGCTAGCTGTTGTTTAGATAATCTGCATGGGGCAGTTGCTTTGTACAATAGCATGCACAATGATTTCTCCATTGAAGGGGGCCTTGTGAAAGTACATGTACATGTACAACACCTCGTGATAGAAGTGATAACATGGCTGGTTTGGTCTTGGTCAACACCTTCACTGCACTATCTAGTTTGGCAACTATCCATAAAACTACGGGTCCATGTTCCACATTGTGATGTATGGTGCCCGTTACAAAAAGGTCGTAACTGTAACTGAAACCCTATCCCATGCTCACATGGGCGTCGCCAGGATTTTTTTTAGAGGGGGGCAAAACATATTTTTGCCAAAAAATGCCTGTATTTTATCAGTTTTAGAGGAGGGCAGGGACATTTGGCCCCCCCCCACCCCATTAAATTTACACCACTATGACTTCGCACCTCTTTTTCTTTTCTTTTTTCTCATTTTTTTTCTTCCTTTTTTTTTTTTTTTTTTGCTTTTCCGGGGGGGGGGGGGGGGGGGGGAGGGGGGAAAGTGCCCCCTTGCCCCCCCCCTCGCGACGCCCATGCATGCTCAATCCAACTTGTGGACAATTCCTACTGAATGTTCAGTTTTGGAAACATGAACAAAGAACCATTTGTTCTCACTGCTGAAATATGGTTGGATCATTGTTGGATGCAACTGGCTTTATACTCACTGAGCCATTGGTTTCTGTTAGACTTCGAAACCAAAAAAGGAGATTAGCATTAAAAAAAAAAAAAGAATTAAAAGGCTGTTTAACCTTTCCATTACAGAGAAATGTGATTCTCGTTTTCCTGGTTGCTTCCGTGCAATCGGCAAATGGCGTACATTTGTCGTTTATGCACTGGCACATGTACATGTACCATGCACGTACATGTACCATACATGCTCCATGGTTATAATGACCTTAGATTAGAAAGGGGAAAAACACACATGTACAAAAGCCCCAAAACAAACATTTGCTTATAGTGTAATAGTGTTTAAGGTGTTTGATAAAATCTTTGGATATTATCAAGATGCAGTGATGTGTCTTACATGTCCATATAAAGGCATGGTAAATGTATACATGTGCATGTTTAAGTGGTACTTTCTATAACATTGGGGGGAAAAAGGGGGGTGGGTTTTGAATATTTTACTTTTATTTTATTTTTTGCTTTAAAGTTTTCAAGCCAGAAAAAAAATTAGGGCGGGATGATTGTCGATTACTTTTTTTTAAGTTTGTGTTTTTTGGCGTGCATTCGTAAAATTTCACATTTGAATCAACTGTTCACTCATTTTTGACAACGCGACAACGCACCAGACGAAAATTGAACTCACTTGCGGCGCCTGAAAGCGGTGTGGTACCCACATACATCGCTCGCGCAGATTTTTTTTGATGTCATCACGTGATGCATACATTTACATTATTACCAAAACAAAATGGAAGACAGCCGTTGAAACTGGCATTTATTGACGGACAAGCCACCGAAATCATCAAGATTTTTTGTGGTCTGTTCCAAGTCGATCATTAGCTTCGTAAATGACTGCTGAATGTATGAGGTATGTAAATGAACTCTGGGGTGGGATATTCATGATATTAGAGTTGAAAATGAACAATTTTTGAGAGGCCATTTTTTTAGGGTCTCTTGCTACCACATGCTAACGAACAGGTTATGCCTCCAGCGTTACATGAATGAAAATGGAGCATGTCAGCTGGAGTTACTCAAGCTATGTCCAAAGGAGCCATAACCCTTTCTACATAGGGCCTACATGACATAGCTACCATTTTGTTGGCAACAAATAAAAAGACAATAGGACTAGGCCTATATGTGCAAAATATACTGCAACTGTATGGGATTGGGATCTAATTTACTTGGCCTATATAATTTAGGCTGTTATTATCAATTTATTGACATTCAAAAATGTCAATTTGCCTATCATATTCATAATGCAACTAGCCTAGATTCAATATGTCGAAAACGTTTTAAAACTGTAAGAAATGATAAAAAATGATTCAATTATCAATATGTTATGTAAACAAAAATCCCCATGTGAGTGAAAACTGAGAATGTCTC